CAGGCGCTTTCTTCAGTATAAGGTAGTAAGGCTTGGCAAATAGGTGCCAGCTTATACCTTAGGTTTGTTTTCTGTTATTCAAGGTGTTGCAGGTAGACAATCAGGTCTATCTTTTGAAGTAACATCTTCTGTGTTAGTGCTTACTCTTGTACCACCCGTCTTGGTTTAGGTGTTAACAACTCAGTGCTGCCTTTTAGATATCTCTCCTGTGCTAGCAGTCTTATACAAGTGAGACGGCTACCCCTTACGCGAATACGTGTCTCCCCTTATTCCCTGCCTACACAACTTATTCTAGTGGTCTTCCCCTCCTCAACGAACACCCGAGGCAGAAGTTGATCTTACGTCTGATCCACCTAACTCGGATAAAAGTGCGGTTGTTTTTAAGTGGCTAGTTCCACGCTCATTCAAGTGCGTCTCGCCTACCGTTTTTCCCCGCCCTTTTACACCGTACATGGCGGTTACTGCACACTGGCTGCAGCTTGTTCTTGAAGATCGTGGTAACGGACTTCAGCCGCAGCTTCGACTTCGTGCAGATCTTATCGGCTTTCACTGTGTCCCTTCCAGCCACACCAGTGAGCATCTTGTGGCTGCATTCCTTTATATCCTGAACCGTATTAAGATCACAAACAAGGTACAGCCATTTTAACAACTTAAAATGATTAAACCACTTACTATCCTTTAAAAATATATAGATTGGCTGGATTACAATGGACAATGCAACGAACAATGACGCCTGCATGGAGGCTCTTGAGCAAACCTTGCGAAAGCGTGGAATTGCTTTTGACAAGCTTCAACATTGCATTCGGTGTGTATACTTCAATAAATCAATTGCAGTTTATTGCTCAAAATAACTGTAGCTGCTTTCCACATGTTGTCAACTTAGAATGCCAAAGTGTTCTTAGTGCTATAACTGAACTCGAGTATGTTAAGGAAACGTCGCAAGATTTCTAGCCAGAAAAGTTTTTGCCACGCAATTTTCTTGATGCAGTCAAACGTGACCCTATCGCAACTTTACGTTCTCTCATTAGAGCAGTAATTTTAATTTAATCTATACAAGATAGTGATTTGCCTTACCTCGATGTATAGATTCATGCATCTGCACTGCGTCACCAGCATTTTATGCAGATTTTAGTCAATATGGATATGGCCATTCTGCAGCTTCTCAAAGACGTTGAGACACGGTGGTCATCAACATATCTCATGATAGATCGGGCTATTCTACTTCGCGAGGTAACAATTTATTTTGGCATACTGTATACTTTTAGGCTTATTTATTTATAGGCAATTGAACAATTTCTCTATGGTTCAGAGTTTGCAGAATCTCGCAAGTATAGCATGAACAATGAAGAGTGGAAAGCTTTGGAAGTATTCCACGAGATCCTTCAGGTAAGTTTAGTTTTCTTTATTTATCCAAGTAATAAATTAAACATGAATAGGTTCCACATGCGTTTCAGCAGCTTTTATCTTCAGAATCTACGCCAACACTCATTAGTGTTTTATCTGCATTTGAAGCCATGAAGCTACACTGGCAGGAGCAACAGGCAAAAGTATCCAACGCAGCTGGAATTATTCAGCAAGGTCTGGACAAGTCTGAAGACCATCGTGATCACAACTGCAGCTGTAATGCATATAATTTGGCCACTGGTAAGCACAGCTTTAAAGCTGCTAAAATCTGAAGCTAAGTTTATTAGTCATCAATCCTGCATGTAAGCTGGAGTGGTTTGAGCAAAACACTTCACCAGCAGAAGCGGCTGCAGCAAAAAATCTATTTTTAGCTGAGGTGCGCTTTTACTCATATTTTAATCTTCATTTCTCTCTATATTAACATTCATTTTACAGATGCGCAAGTATAAATCCAAGATGGCCCCTTCGGCCTTGGCTCCGGCAGCTGCAGTGATTCAAACACAGCAGCAAAAGGCCTACGACATTTTATTCAAGGGTAAAGGAAAAGGTCCATTAACTGAGCGTTCAGTAGAGCAAGAGTGGTATGCATACATTGCAGAGCCCACAGATGGATTTGTGGATGCTATCACATACTGGAAGGTGAGTGCACACTTACTGAAACTTGTGCCATAATTTTTCTCTCCATTTTTCTCCATTTCTTTCGAAATATTGATTTATCTTCACATTTTAGGCATCTCAGACCAGGTTTCCAACCATCTATGCCATTGCAATGGATATTCTGCCTATCCAAGCCTCTGCTGTGCCCTGTGAACGTGTCTTCTCATCCGGAAAGATAACAGTCACAGACCGGCGCAACAAAATCAGTGGAGAACTCATGGAAGCACTGCAAATTCTCAAGTTCAGGTTCAAGCAAGGCCATTCTCTGTCTTTCACACATGGTTTGGACATTGGAGAGGAGCTCAAGGACTTGGAGAGCTGTGCAAAAGAGTCTCCAGAGGAGATCAGTTCATATTTAGCATCACTCAAGTAGGACAAGCAATGTTACGATGAATTCCGCAGTACCAGTGTGGACTACCTTCCTTTTTGGGAGGGACGATCGGCTGCAAGCCGCTGCTCAGCCATAGTCGCTTATAGTCGCGGCTGCACTGCGGCTTGACTTGACTCGGCGGATCCCAAAAAGGAAAAGCCGTCCAAAGTCAAGTCACAGCCAAGCCGCGCCAAGCCGTGGCAACACTAATGCGAGAGCGCTGATGCGTATAAGCTCCATATTGGGCAACACCCCACTGGCGCTTAGTGTCTGCTCCTTGGGAATTGGCCTCAAGTGACTTCTCTGAATGAAGTGGCAAATATAAAATCAAAAACAAGTTATAGTTATACTACTGCAGCCTGCTAAGACATTTTTCAGCCTACCTTCGACCTTAAACTTGGTACGGGCAAGCGAAATCCCTCAGATTTTGCGCCTCCCACAATCACGTGAGATTGCTTACATAAGAGTGCCCATTCCTGGCGACCCCTACTTCTTAAGATAGGCAGAGGACAAGCGCGTCTAGGCGGGCGCTATTTGCCGCTCCCGCTCGATGCCAGATATGGAAATGATGCGCTAGTCAAGCCCGCACTCGTGAACTTCAGTCGCTGCTCGACCGACAACAAGCGTAATATCGCGAGATTGCAATCTTAGTGTTAGAAAGGACTTCACAGCTTTTCAATTTGATTCTTTGGGCGACTCAGAGTGCAGCTGGTTCCGCCTCGCGCTGCCCAAGCGGCTGTGACAAGGGATGATCAGCGAGGGGTAGAAGATTGTAGGTGGTGATTCACAGACGTTGCTCGTCGGGCAGTGCCCGAATGTGGAGGTATGGTTGTCATTGCGCGTAAAGAAACGCGACTGGCGCGGCCGGAGCGTGCGGCTCGATGCGCCGCGAGGTCTCGTCTTCGCACTAGTGATGTGCGGGCCGGGCCTCAAAGCCTCCAAGCCCGCCAAGCCCGGCCCAAAAAGCCTGGCCCGAGTCAAGCCTGGCAGCGGGCTCAAGGCCGGGCTCGGAGCGTAGTCAAGCCCAAGCCCGGCCCGGAAGCCCAGGCTTGGGTGTGCTGGCTCCGTTACTGTTCCCTGAGTTCAGAATAAGGAGAGAGCGACCTAATATGCACATAGAAGACAAAATGCAGATATTCTAGACGTAACGGCTCCCGCCGAGCACGATTGTGCGTCACCATCTGGTGCCTGCCGTAGGCGCACGCTCATGGACTTCGCTGCGACTCGGCTTGTTCCGCAGGTGTAGATCTTCTGGAGGTTATAATTTAGTGAGTACATGCAGTATTAATCTACTACACCCAAATACATTCCCTTTTGATAGCACCGGAACACTCGTTGTATTGTGAGCAAGCCCGGGCTTAAGCCCAAGGCTTGGGCCGGGCTCGGGCTCGGCTCGGGCTCAGGGCTCGGCTCGACGTCGCCACAAGCCCAAGCCCGGGCTTTGAGCCCAAGCCGGGCCCGCACATCACTACTTCGCACCTTGAGACAGGCAGAGAGATCCGGAGATTTGCATATGAGATGTCCGTTGGTACCGGCTTGAAAGGATACAGGACGAAAGAAGACGCAGACTGCTGGATGTCCATGGAGTTCAGGGCACAGCCGAAGGCGATAACCTGCAATTAATGTATGCTCTCCCGCTTGGTGCGAGCAAGTAGATATCAGGTTCGCGCCGCAACTGCAGTCCAACTGATGCAATTGAAATTAGGATTATTACATATAATGCCACGTACAGTAAAGGGAAAGATCCAGAGGGAAATGGCAGAGGCATCCCACCAGACAAGAAACGAACGCAAAAAGCTACTTGCACATCAGGCGCAGCTTCTCGAGCATCCCGAGGTCATGCTCCTTGCGCATCATCCCGTACCACTCAACGCCAGCCACCCACTGTTTATTATCATCCAGCACCGCCGGATATAGACCTTCGCCGTCGACGCCCGTCCAGTCGAAGTCAACCAGCTTTGCACGCAACTGCTCCGTCTGCACCGCCGAGCCCGGTTCCGCAACCGACTCGGGGGTGCACACGACGTTCGACGGCCGGAGGTCGCCAAACACGATGTCCTCCTCGTGCAGCCTGTCGATCGCGGCCCTAACGCAGTCGAAGACCGACAGCGGGACGGCCTTGCCCAGCCTTTTCGTCTGATGCTCCATAGTCCAGCCAGGAAGGAGCTCCATCACCGCCATGTACAGCTCTCCATGCACGCGCGAACACGAGTACAGACGTGGTGCAAAGCCGGCAGCGGCCAGGATTCGGTGGGCGAGAGGGTCGTAGCGATCGGTGAACTTGACGAGCACCTCGATCTGCAGAGCGGTAGTGGAAGTACCAGAAGGAGCCTCTGAGGCATCTGGATCGCTCGGGTCGTCTGGAAGTGGCATGTGAGGGATGTATAGACCCGAACTGACACTGCTTTCCCTGAAATCGATGCCCGAGGGAAAGACATACCGCTCGCCGCTCTTGGTGAGTCTGCATCTGAATACTAGCTTTTCAGGGAGTGGGTCGCCAGAGAGATGCGTCGGGGAGGGAAACGGGTGCGCGAGGCTATCTTCCGGTGGTGGCGCCGCTTCCAAGCGAGTGTAATAGTGTTCTTTGGCGTCCCTTGCGAGCATGACCGCTTTGAACGCCTGTGCGAGACGGAGAATATGCTCATGCGAGAAAAAGTCTAGGCTTAGCCGCTGCAAGAACGTCTCGTCATAGTAGACATCGCCACCGAGGTAGATTGCGCGGCCAATTTCGATGTAGTCGCCCATGAGGCCGATCAGGATGGCCGGGTGGTTCGTCTTCATGGACCGTGGATGATACTAGACCCAGCACACAGGGACCATTTTAGTTTGTGCAAATAGATCACGCTGGTAAACGCACTCTTCGATCAGAAATTAGCTCCGAGTATGATAGTGCAGCTTGGAGGAAAGCGTCCCCACCGAGCGCAAACTCACTCTTGATCTGCTCAACAATAGTTACATATTTGTTGTTGGCTCGCCACACAAAATCATTGGTAGCCCCGTACACTAAATTTTGCTCCAGAAGGCTCATACCCAGGGCCATTTTCAGCAGCGGAGTGAGTCTGCCTTCTCGCGCCACCGCATTGGCGTAAACTTCGAGGGACTTTTCCATAAAGTAGTGCACATTATTGAGCAGCTCCGGCTCCGGTTCAAGTTCGGCCAGGTTCTTGCCAAGGTGGCGAAGATGAAAGTCGAGCCTGGCCAAGGCAGGGTGGAACAACGCGTGCGGCGGACCGTAATTCCCCAACGGTCGGCCACCATGGACGATGGCGTCGTTACCACACAGTATTTGTCGCAGGCTAGAAGCGCTACTGACTGCGTCTGCTGGTGATATATCGAGTTTCGAGCGACGTTCGGCTCGGGCCTCGCTTCCTAAGGACATGGGTCGGGAATGAAGAGACAATAAAAACAGCTCAGGTCTAGATTGACATACTTGCTACGATACAAGATGGGATGAGTCGCAGTTTGTGTAGTTTATATATGGCCTCTATGGCTAGCTCGTCGACCGGGTTGTCAGCTGCATCCGCGGTCCATGGCCACGGACTACGTATCATCCTTAGAAAGTATTATCATATCGATGAATGCATCATCCTCTGGCTCCCACTGATGAAACCATCGAGTCACTCGGCCCATGGAGTGAATCTGCAGGCCTACGTCTTCCAGAAGATGAAGATGATTGCTGATCCACTCTTGCGAACGAGAAAGTCTTGTGTCATCGGGTCTGAGAGGCAGATTGTCTGGCTGGTATCGCTTGTCAGTGCTGGTGAAAAGACGAGCGCATACATGTACGTACTTTGAGCAGGGTGACACTGGTCAAGTCGACCGAGAACGGGGGATCGGCACGTTTGAGGAGTTGTTGTACAGGAGTCTCCTTGGTAATTTTATACTCTGCTGTGGTGGCAAACGAGCCCTTTGGATGCAGGTAGAACATATGAAACAGAGTCTTTGTCATGGCGGCTGCAGACTCGGAGTACGTGGTGGAGGGAACGGTGAGGATCTTGAGGTAGGAGAACGTAAATATTCGGAGTTTAAAAACAGATTGCGTAGATGTTACCACCAAGTACGGTCGTTTCCCTTCTACGATTTACAGAGCTGATCACGCTGTATGACATAACTCAGGCGGTCTGTTCGGGTGCTATTCGCTTTCCCCGCCATCGACAGCCCCCGAGGGCCCAATATCACGTAGGATCCTACATGTATCCAGATACTCACAACAACTTGCTTCTCTTGACCTTAGCTACGACCTCGGCGAGCTCCTCAAAGGAATTCACCACGAGGTCGACCTCGCCGCCGTCCGCCTTGCTCTTCACCTCATGCCGCTTAAGGTCGTCGCGCATGTCGATGTCTTCTGTCTCGCGCGGGATATATACTGTCTTGTAGCCATGGCTAGCGGCGCTGCGGAGGTCGTAGATGTGTGCCGCGACGAGGGCCACTTTCTCCGGTGCATCTGCGAGCGAGAGGTGCGAGAGTGCGGAGAGGTACACTTTCGGGTTTCTAGGATGTGTGGTCAGATACTGGGAGGACGGCTTCGGAGGAAGCGACGTACGGCTTGTAGGATCCAAGGAGCTCGCCTGAGAAGACGACGTCCCACGGCAGATCGGCATACTTTGCCTGAAAGGCCCATGCTCAGCCGAGGAACGTGCAGCGGGTAATGGAAGGGCGCACCATATCGACAAGGAGTCGCACGTTCCCGTTGGATAGAGTGCCAATAATAGCATGTCTCTTCAGCGCATACAAGCCGAGCGTGGTATCTTTCCAACCTGGCGAGCAGTACGCACTGTAAGATCGTGACCAAAAGTGTAAAGATCTGCGGACTCGCCGCTCAGTTGGTGCCAGACCAGATTGACCTCTTTCCTTTTCTCTTCATCCCAGAGCTTTCCAAGAGCTTCCCACTCTGGCCTAGCGAGCAGCGAGTCAAGAATCTGTGCGCGCGTCAGACGCGAAAAAGAATGGCTTGATGTGCAGAGTACGGTACCTGACGATGAAGTGTATCGATGTTGCCAGGGCCTTCACCACCTTGTGCGATACGTTTCCTGCAAGACTCTATGAGACTTTGTGCGGTAAACGATGGACCTGACTCACGTGTTCGTGATATATCCCTTGCGCCACTCCTGTGCGAAAGCAATCCAGTCGACTATGCGCCGCCCGAGCGCATCCAGCAGCGTCAGCCAGACGTCGAGTGCCAATTAAGCTTAGTAATACTTGCGTTCTAGCATGCCGTCGTAGTGCTTCGTTCGCAGCTCCTGCGCGACGCTGTTCTGCCAGTCGACAACCGTACCAAACACGTCGAACAGGAAGACATCGACACCTTCCAGAGGATGGGCCATAGCTGGTTGACAGCGAGGTAGAAAGCTGACTGGTAGCAGAACGAGAGCGTGAGACAGGGTCGGTCGCGGCGGGAAAGACACGGCTGGTCGCCGGTCCCACGCCACCAGGATGATGGCACATCCGCGTTATGATATCTGCCGGCACGTCTCTTCCCTGAAGCAGAGCATGTGTGTTCTGGGGAAGAGAAGCCGTACATTTCTCCAGCCGCTTGCTTCAGGTCTTCATTTGGCTGAGCCATGTTGACTCAGCTGTTGTATGGGAGGGTGTCGGCTGGTCGGTTCTGGGAGGCGAGCTCACATGCAGGTTATATGTGCCGCGGCCCATGCAGCGCTGCGAGGCAGCTCATTGCAGGCCCCAAGATTGTAGCTCGCTTCCGCACGCGGATATCTGACAGTATCGTAATAATCACTGCTATGGAGCATCAGGTGTAGTCTGCCTTGTCGAGATCAGCGCAGCCTGTGGTCACCTCTACAACGAGATCGAAGCGTGGTGAGAGCATAGTATCGGCTGCCCGATACAATCCTGGTTGCATAAATGCCGTGGCTTTTCTTGGAGGCAGGTTTTCAAGTCGTTTGATTACAGATAGACAAGCGATATAGGAAAGCTAGTGACGGGTGGAACATCACAAGGAGTCTGAATAGCCATAGACGCAAATCTGCTCGGTCCACAACAGGCCGCATCTCGATTAAAGCATGCTGCCATCATCTCGGCTCTGTGTGAGAACACAGGGGGTTGACGCAATGCCTCAGTTGTGTGCTCGTCCAACCTGTTAGAGAGATACAGGAAGGGCCACCGCGGCTCGGCTTCAAATGTATCTATCTCCTGGGTACGTATGCGACCAGACTTCTTAACCTTCCAATCTGCAATGTGCGCATAACTCGCAGGCCGAGAGTCGTAGTGACGAGGCACGAAAAAGTGCGATGGCAAAGCCCTGGACTGCGTACACATGTAAAGCCCGCTGGTGCGAGCTATGCATCTTCTGCGGGCAGTCAACACCTCCGTATCGCCTCCATAATGGGCAAAAGCCCGTGATGAGATGACAGCTTCTGCTCTAGGCCCCATCGCCACCCTTGTTCCCTGCGTGTCCGCGTGCCACACAGCCTTTTCACATCTCCCTATGACACTTCATGTTCAGTTCCCGATCCGATAAGATGCCCGTTCCTGAGCTTGTCAAATCGCGCGGAGGCTGTAGGTAGAGAGTAGGTGGAGGAGTCGCCCGAGCTGCGCCGTTTGGGGCATTACTTTTGAGAAAGATTCGCGAAATGTGCAACACAACCAGCGCCCCCACCTGGATGTACACGATGCACCCGCCTGTCAAGGTCGTATCAAGGCTTGCGGATAGTAAGACGCTGGAGGGTGGTCGTTACCACGCACATTGGGGCACCTAAGGGCCTGAAAAGCGATACTAAGGAGGCGCAACATGCACCAGTCTTGCATGATACGGAGGGTTCTCGCGAACATGTAACTGTGTCGCGTGAGAGACTGTTGATGTCGGAAAAGGCCGCGCCCTACGAGACATCAGGCATCGATGAGATTGAGAACGAACGCACTCGTCACTTACTGAGGTTATCTCAGCTCATGGGTCTGTCCTCCGTGATGACCTCGGACGTGTCCACGTCGGCTTTTGGCAGCTTCGCGCCAAGGCTGTCGTCACGTCAGGTTCGTTAGTTGCAGGGACACAGATAGCAGCAACTTTCGAGCGACATCCTTACCGCGCGCAGCGGTGTCCATCCTAGGAGCATCGATCGGTGAGAAAGAGGGTATGCTCACACTGGCATGCAAATGTCGCAGCGAAGAAGGCCTTGACAAAGGATCAGGAGGTCCGTCGAGGCGGCTGGGAGCGGGAGGAAAGGATGTGAACGGGCGCGATCTAGGGCAGCGGGTCCCCGAGTTGATAGTTAGGATTCGACAGATAAAAACATGTCAACCCACGCGGCACAGTTCGCAAAGTATAGGTGCTTGTTTGGATTGCGAACTGTATTGGCTGAACAGGCAGCTTGGTGGCGAAGGACGGGCACAAAGTGTTACCTTTGGCGCCGTTCAGCTCTACTTCGAAGGCCATCGGCGCGACACAACGCTGGCAGCGGCCTCGGGCGCGGGAGTCGGAAGCAATCTGACGTAACCCTAACCCCGCTCGGGCGTCCGCGTCTACCCGTACATTCGGCAAAAAGCGACAAGCGTGTTCGCGCTCGAGGGCGCCGGGCTCTACGCGATTATCTCCTCCTCAAAACCCACCGTGAGCTCGACGCCGCCCTCGTCGCCAGGCGCCTTCTGTCTGCTGTCCAGCTCAGCGTCGCAGCCCCGGATCACGACAGCGACACCTGACCGATCCGCCTAGGTCCCCGCGTAGGCGCACGGCTCGCGTGTGGGAAATCGACTCAGGGCCCCGCCCCTCCAATAAATTCGTTTAAGATGCCCGCTCCCTCCTGGTCTGAGCTCTCCAACTGGGATGGCCGCCTCTCTCGGCCGAGCTCGTCGTCGTCCAAGTCATCGTCACAGCCGTCCTCGATGCCACCGCCGCCCCGAGCCCCTGTCAGCCCTGCACGCGCCGCCGATCCCGGTTCGCAGCCGCATACACCTACAGCATCCGCGTCGCTCCATGCGAAAGCACCAGTACGACCGTCCGCGACAGCCTCAGCAGCCTACGAAAATGAGCACGCCGCGAATGCTGCGCTGCTCGCGTCGCAGCAGCCGTCGACACTGCGCAGCCCAACACTGCCGTCGCACATGGACGGTTTCGCGCCACCCAAGCGGACGCGACAACTGATAGACGGAGGAGATGATGTGTCAGATGTGCAGGCGACGAACGGTTTTGGAGACACTAGAACGTCCGTCTCGGTGCGTGTTTGTGTATCGGTGCGCTCGTGAGACTGCTAACATTGTCCACTTTTCGTGCGCCAGCTTACAGCCCACACGAGCCTCTCAAGCGCAATAACCGAGGTACCTTTTCTTCCTCATACCCAACCCTCATCTCAGCGATCCCGGACGCAACCTGCGCAAGTGGCAGTGCCCATCTCACCACAGTTCCGACGCCTGCAGAACGTGCGTATGCCGTCGCCGATGTCCGTGACAAGCCATAGAGGTAGCGAAGAAGACGACGATAACGTGCGACGCATGCTCCTGGCGTCCCAACCTCCGTCGCCTGACCAGGTGTGCATGGTTGTCTGGGTGCTTCGAACATTTGGCTGACTGTTCGCGTAGAGCAAAGATGGCATTCACGCGTCTGATGAACTTACGATACAGCCGGACCTTGTGGGAACGGAACAGTCAAGTAGACCCTCGCAGGTACGTGCAGTCGCCACGAATCTCTGTCTCGTGCTAAACCTGAGATAGCTGCCAATTTCGCTCCAAGCGCCACCGCCCCAGCCACACCCATCCACGTCTCTCAGCAACGGAGTGCCTTTGCGACCCCATGTTCCTTCGGAGCACCTCGATGGTGCAATCGCGATACAAATGAACAGTCCAGAGACGGACGCGTCTCTCTCAGACTCTCGCACCTGGTCGGTCGCCGCCGGCCTAGCGGTCGAAGACGGTTTGCACGACTCCTGTGCACGTCCGAGCACTGCGAGCGAGAGCGCACAAGTTGAGCCGCAGAAAATAGACTACTCGCGCTGGGAGGCGTGGTATCGACGCTACACACAACCTGAACAGCCCGTGGTGGCCGGCCCGTCCACAGATCCTCGCCCACCACCGTCGCCAAAGCCCGGTGGCTCGCAGGTGCCAGGTCCGAGTTCACTTGCCTCAGTACGGACCGTGAAGGTGGGGGTTGCCCATGCGCCTTTCTTCTAGAGTCCTGACACTGAACCGATTTCGGACTTGTAGGAGCCTCTCTTCCTTCCCGAGACGCCAGAAAGCGTGCAGGTGGCGTTGCCCTCGACGCCGGCGCGGTCGTCTTCCGGGGGCCCCCAGGACCGGGCGGGGCCCCCGCCGCGCGCACACAGCCCTAGCGTCGAGATCGTCGAGCCCTCGAACCGCAGCGCGAGCACGGGCGAGAGCACCCTCGTCGACAGCAGTGCGCCTCTGGTAAGCCGCCGTGGCCCCCTAGTCCGCTTTGTTGCGTTCTTGTTTGTCCTACAGCTCTGACACACTACCCCTCTTGTCCAGCCGACGACCAACACCACACGATCTTCACGTCCGTCGCCAGCCCCCGTGGCAGGCCCAAGCCGTTCTGCGCCGGCGGCACGCGGCATCGCCTCCACTACTGCGACGATGGTAGCACGCGGACGCGGCCGCGGCCGGTTCGTGCACGACGACGACACCCCGATCAGCATCTCCTCCACGACGTCTCCCAGCCCCGCACCCGGTGGCCACCACCCTGCGCGCCGCGGCCGCGGCCGCCCACGCCTCCGCCATCCGAACGCCACGGCACCGTCGTCGGCACTGGAGAACGCACGAGCACCGCGGCACCGCGCGTACGTCGAGCTCCCGACGCTCTCGCGCGCCCAACGGCGCCTCTACAGGCCGCTCGCAGAGGCGCAGGTATCGGTGCCCCGCGAGGACGAGCTGCTGTTGGTGCGGGGAGGACCGTCTCGCATGGCGGCGGCGGCGGCGGCGGCGCTCTCGCCCACGGTGTCGGACTACACGCGCAGCAGCGCGATGCCGCCAGAGGCAGCGCACACGCCCTCGTCCTCGCCCTGCGTCGTGCCGTCCTCCGTCAGCCCGCCGTTGCTGCCGCTCTCGCCCACCGTGGCGCGTCCCGGCGCGGCTGCCGCCCGCAGGCGGCGCACGCCGTTCCCCGCACCGCCTAGTGCGCATGAAGAAGATGGAGAAGAGGAAGAGGAGGAGGAAGAGGAGATGCACTGGGCCTTTGGCCTCACCGCGGCGTACAACCGCGCGAACGCGATTGCCGGGGCGGCTGCTGCGGCGCTCGACGAGCCTGAGCCACAGGTGTTGGGGCGCAAGCGCAAACGTGGAGAGCAAGAAGACAAGCAGTGGTGGCGAAGGCAAGGGCAGAGTGGAGGAGAGCGCCAAGCGCCGCTGCGCACGCTTGAGTCACACGAGCCGTATGACGAGCTGCCGAGACCGAAGAGGAGGAAACGGAGGACTGGGCCTATGCCGCACGCCGAGCCGCCGCCGTTCGCGGCGAACGGCGAGATGTATCGGTTCGGGCCTTCGCAGGCGCACCATCACCAGTGGCACCGCTCGCCCTCGCCGCCAACCGTCTCACGGACGCCAGACGAAGCGGGGCTCCCAGTGGAGGAAGAGGAGGAGTCCGACGACCCGGGGGACTACTGGCGGGTGTCCGGGCTGGGGGACGACGCGGTGGACGTGTTCGCGCCGTTCTGCACTTACTTCCCCGTCGACGTCGACGTGTCGATCGAGCGCTGGTTGTGCGCCGAGCACGAGCTGCAGACGGACCCCGCGCGCGCGACGCTGCGCTCGCGCCTCCGGCATGTGTTTGATGCCCTTGGGGTTGTGGTGGCTGGAGATGGGAAGGAGAAGGAGAAGGAGAAGGGCAAGGAGAAGGAGAAGGGCAAGGAGAAGGGCAAGGAGAAGGGCAAGGAGAAGGGCAAGGAGAAGGGCAAGGAGAAAGGGAGAGGCAGGGTGGGGCAAGGAGAGGAGGGCCCGCTTGCTGCGTCGCCTGTGTCTCGTCCGCCGGTCACGCCGCCGCAGAGTGCGCTCGCGAAGGCGGGGGCGCCGTCAAGGCCGACCGTGGTGTTGACGCAGGACGCGCGCAAGAAGCGGAGGAGGGAGGTCCCGCTGTCGCCCTCTCCTCCAGAGATCGTTCGTCAACCTGCAGCAATGCCCGCGCCCCCCGCGCATCCTCAGCTGTCTCTCCCACTGCCTCCCCAGCACTCCCCTGCGCCCTCGCACAACAACGCTTCCCACTCGGTGTCATTCCCTGTTTTCCCTGCTGGCCACGATCTGCAGCCGTCTCCGGGTTTCGCGTACCCCTACCAGCAGTACTACCAACCGATCGTTCCGTCTCACGTCGCCTTGCGCGGGAAAGATGCGTTCCTCGGCGCGATGCACCACGCCCCGCAGGACGACCAGATGAACCTCGATGACCACGACGACGGCACGTACCTCGCGTATCCCACGGCGGACGACGTGCTCCAGTCGAGCGCGCAGTGGATTGACCCGTCCCATGCGCTCCCGCTCCCGCAGCAGCTGTTCCCTGCGCCTCTGCCGCCAGGCGCGTTCATCATCGGCGGCGGCAACGTCGGCGGCGTCGGCATGGGTATCGGGCCGGCGCATGCGCACGCACACCACGCAGCCATGGGCCCGGCTCTCGGCGTCGATCCGCACGTGTTTCCTCAGGGCGGCGTGGGCACCATTGATCCGTCGCTCCTTGGCGGGCCGCCCACGCCCCTGCGCCCGCGCTCGCTGACCGCCACGCCGACCCCGCCGTCCGCCCGCGCAGCTGCCGTTGCCGTTGCCGATGCTGATATCACTACCTCTGATATTGCTGCGAAAGACGACGAGGAGCGAGCCCCGCACGCGTCGAAACCCGGGCCGAAGTCGAAGGCGCGTCTGGGCGCGGCCGCGCCCGGCGGGAAGGGCAAGGCGAAGGGCAAGGAGCGCGCCGCGGACGTGGGGTATCGCGCGCGCGTCGCGCAAGAAGAAGGACGCGAGCCGGGGTCGTATTGGGTCAAGGAGGGGCCCGAGGGCAAGCGCAGGCGGAAGCCGTCGGCGCGCGCCGTGGAGGCGGGGTTCGCCCATGCGGACGACGATTCTGCGTCCAGGCCGCCGGGCGAGGACGGGGAGGCTGCCGCAGACGCGGGAGAGGACAGGACGGCAGAAGAGATTCGGGAGCTTGCTGTGGACGTGCCGTACTGCCACCAGTGCCGGAACAGGAACTACTTTGAGAAGCTGCGGTGTACGGTCATCAAGGAGGACGGTGACACCTGCGGGGCTGTGTATTGCGAGAAATGTATCAGGCTCCGGTGCGTGTTTTCTCGTTGTTTGTTTGCTGTGTTCGCGAGCTCATTCGTGATGATAGCTATCCGGATATGGAGTTTGATGTATACGCGGTCTCCTTCAAGTGCCCGAGGTGCCTTCAGATCTGTAACTGCACCCACTGCTGTCAAAAGCGTGGAGAGGTGTATGTCTCCAGTCGCGGCGAGAAGATTAACATCGCACCATCCGCGTATTATTTCGAGTCGCTCCTGAAGGAGAAGGCTAAGGTTGCGGCGGCCAAAACCAGGGACAAGGCAGATCAAAATCGGCACCGACGTTCTACCTCGCGTTCTACAAACCTGCGACGCTCCGTCTCCGTTGCCGGCGACACGAAGCCTTCTCTTATGCCCAAGCCGCCGAAGAAGCACACTGCGCCCACGCAGCAAGAACTTGACATTGCGGCGAAGATGGCGCTGCCTCAGGGTGCGGTGTGGGGCACGATTTATGGCGTCAAGATGGACCGCATTGGTATCGGCATCGTCGCGGATAGTTCGAGTCAGAACATCATCGTCTCTCGGCCAAACGACTTTGAAGAAGACGATGCCCACGACCCGCGTTTTGCGAGAGCTCATACGCACGCGTCGGATGGCGCCGAGGAGGAGAGCGGGGAGGACGAGCTTGTGTCGTCCACGCAAGCAGACACGCGTGCGTCGGTCGCGCCGTCAGTCGCACCTGCCGTGGATGGGTCGTCCTTACAGGCAGCCGACCCTCGTCCGCCGGTGCAGAAGCGAGGAGGATTTTATGTCGGCAAACCGCTCAAGCACTGGAGACGGCTTCCGTATTCCGAGGAGGGCCTTGTCCGGAAGAAGGGCATTCCGAACATACATGCCTACGTCGGCTCCAAGGACGCCATCGATGAGTGGACCTCGACTGAGCTTGTCCTTTGGAGGTGCATGTCGGGTCCGCTGACGCCAGGACCGTCCGACGAAGAGGATGCTGGTGGGCTTGCACAGTCGAGCGCGTCGGATGTGCAGAGTCTGATGTCGCGGCCGCCGGTGGGTGGCATGACAGACGGCGACATGGGGTTTATCCTCGCAAGGGCGCTAAAAGCGGCGAGCAAGCCGCCTGAGGACGACTTGCAGTCGTTGACGGCGCAATTTGGTCTCATGCAGGGTGCCAGCGCTGTCGCAGAGCAGCCGGCGGCGACAAACGACCATATGGAAGTCGATCACGACGTCGCTCAGGCCGGCAAAGAACCTGCCGAGCCCTTGGCGCCACCCAGCGGGACTGCGTGTCACGATATGAAGGAACCAGGAGGCCCACTTGAAGTTAGCCGAGGCCGCGACGACAACGCTGAAGCACCCCCGCCGACTGCACCAGCGAAGCAGCCCACAATCGAAGTCGAGACGAAGGAGATATCCGACATTGCACTGACCATCTCTGCATTAGTTCCCCAGGAGCCTGTCTCCGCCGACCAACATCTCTTTCCTGGCGATACCCTTAAGGCCGAGCATCGCCCAGTCGCAGATGTCTCGTCCACCGACTTTATCGAACCGAAAAGCAATACCACGCAACCCACGACAACTACGACGTCCAGGCTGCCTGGACTGTCGAAGCCGCTTGATAGTGCAATTTAATCTCGTCGTGATCTGAATAACCCATCTGTTAAATATCTCTTGTAAAACTAGTGAACCATACGGCGCCTGACTTCTTGATTCTTCACACGCAGTGCCTACCGTACACCGCATTAATCGTCACACAGTCTACCATTTTTTTTTTTTGTTTCTTGGCGTTTCTTGGCATTTCTTTCACGTTCGATCTGTAGCATAGCATCGCTTTTGTTTCACAGCCCGCAATTTTCTTGAATACACCCGCATGTTCAGCGCGCAACTTGTCGTCACGCGACCCTGCCGGTTGCTCACGCTGCAGCCGCGCCCTTGACCCGCTCGACGACCCGCACGAGCTCATCCAGCGACTCAACGACGAGGTCGACGTCTCCGCCCTCGCTCTTCGGCCGCACACTGTCGCACAGTCTGCCTTGGCCTTCGACCGCCTCCTGGTCCTCGGTCTCGCGGCGGACGTACACCGTCCGGACGCCGAGCGCGCCGGCGGCACGGACGTCGTACGCGTGTGCGGCGACCATGCAGCACTGTGCTGGAGTGACCGACAGATGGGCAAGGGCGGCGTGGTATATGGCAGGGTTCCTATTGTTGGCAACGTGGTCAGATGGGCAGCAGTCTGGATGGCGAGAGAGAGACAGGTAGCGCACGGCTTGTACCCGCCGAGGAGCTCGCCCGTAAGGACAACGTCCCAGGGCAGGTCAGCATGTTTAGCCTGTCGGCGCGTGAGCTGGGCGAGTAGCAAAATAGGAAAGGAGAATAAGTACGATGTCGACGAATTGGCGCACGCTGCCGTTCGCGAGGGTGCTGATGACGGCATGCTTCTTCAGGGCGTACAGCGCGCGAGAGGAGTCGGGCCAACCTGGAAGATGAACATCAATGAGCAGGAGCTCTGTAGGGAAGAACAAGGAGGAGCACACCGTTGAGCTTGTGCCACATCGTGACAGCCTCCTGGCGCTTCTGGTCGTCCCACAGCTCTCCGAGATGGCTCCATGGAGGAGTGCTTAGCAATGTATCAAGTGCCTGCAATGTAAGAATCGAGTACCATGTTTAGTTAGAGGAGCAGTTCAAATGTCACCTCGCGCTGGATAATGTCTATCGCCCCCGGACGAACCGTTTCCTCAGATGCGAGCGGCTCCCTGGGCGGTGCGCTCATGAGGGCGTCGACGGCGCGAGCGCGAGTCCACATACAGCTTGTTCCAGAAGGCTGTCCTCCACTCCACCACAAACCGAGTCCAGTCGACTTCGGAGCGAGTTTAGTACTGCCACGACTGGGCGCTTCTGAGGCTGGACTCGGACGGTGACGCACCTGCAGCTTCGACGTTGACCACGACTCGCAGCTGCTTCGGCACGCTGCCTTTCCAATCGAGAACGGTGCCAATGACGTCGAAGAAGAAAACTTCGACACCCGCAAGAAAGGCTGTATCTGTCGACGTCGACGACATGGTGGTCGGGAGTAAGGTGCAAGAAAGTCTCGGTGCTCGAAACGGAGTCAGCAATTCAAACCAAGGCGGCTGCGGTCATCGTCATCTGATACCCCCGATAAGCTTCAATTGCATCGCACACTCAAGCGCTTCTGCGATGCCATCCAACCCCAAGCGAGAATATGCTAGAAAAATTTCCTTCGGAACGAGAGGCAAGTTGGAAACCTACGAATGAAACAGACGAAAGCGCATCGTGACGCGCCATCAGCCTTGTGGCGTGCGAGCGTCGCACGCGACAGTCTGGTGATTTTCTGGCTTTCCGAATTTCCGTTGCAGACCCCCTTGACGACGACTGGTACTCTTGTCGTTTAAGCTCCTCGCAATCTTGTCTCTCATTTTTAATGGAGAATATCGTATACACAGTACTCAGGTGTGGGGAGGAAGACGTAAAAAAAGTGCGTACCGCCAGCGTCGCCGCTCTGAATCTATCTCTGTTGAACGGCCCGCCGGGCGCGGTTGCTAGGTACTTGTGGCATCCAACGGGAACGCTTTGAATTTTTGATAGGTAAAGGGCGCACGCAAGATACTGTGCCGTAGCGTCTTTGCCAAGAACAACCACGGTCCGGGTTGTGTCGGCCAAAAACTTCATTTGTCTGATATTTCCAGGTAGGGAACACTGCGTGCTATCCAACATGCACGACAATCACCAATGCGATACTTTTGGGAGATAGCGGGTACTCTCTAGAAACCCGAGCAGCCAAGGTTCACGGGCCACGGAGAGGTACGCCGTACAGCTGTGTTACCGTGCGCCCAAACATCTGATTCTGGAGGCAGTCCTAGATCTCGAGTCACGGGGTCACGCCACACCTCATGCTCCGATGCGGTGAACATTACAACAATCAGATAATCAGATATTTCATGTGTCGAAACGAGCTGCGGTCTGGGCCTGCAGTGAAATTCCACCTGTTCCGCAGCACTGCATATGCCGCAATATATATGGCTTGTATGTGATTCTGTCTCCCTTCACCGACCGGCTAAAGTTTTCTTACATCACAGGAAATATGGCCCAGTCAAATGAAGCTATAAAGCGGGAGACTCAAGAAGTGTACTGGTTCTCTCTCCGGAGCACGCACACTCTGACTCTGACGTATGAGCTATGTATCCAGCTTGACGTACACACAAAACCATGCGGCTTACTCGCTACTATGTACGTTACCTCCTTGCTAAGCCTCAGCGGCAATCTGCTGAATAAATTTTATTCTTAGGCCTTGTAGTCTACGAATACGTCACGACAATCGACCAAGAAGTTGCGGCAGTATGGAGAAGGAAGTTCACGGCCACTTCACTACTGCTACTGACTATCCGATGGCTCATGGTCCTCGGACCGTTTCTACCGGTTGTACTATCCACTGAGAGACAAATTTGGTGTGAGTGCGCCGATGCTTAAGAATAGCCTAAGACTGACCTTAGGGTACTATTCTACAGCAGTGCATCGTGCATTTTCTTTTTTTGAGAAATGTTCCCTAATGAACTGCTGCGCATGATACAAGGTGTAGGCCGGGTTACATGCTGGAAGAGCTTTTATACTTGATGGTTGGAGTCCTGACATTGGGTGAGCACCGAGTACATCCGCCGCTTAATCACATAAAATAGACCGATTATCTGCGTAGCTTTCTCAAGTCTGCGTGTGTATGCACTCTGGAAGCGCTCGCGGATGAAGTATGTCTTCCCTGCGGTGGTATTCGCGCTTGGATTGGCCCCAGTTGGAATAAATATCGTGAGCCACCCTTCATCAATCATGTAGCCGATTTTCACTGACTCGCATTCAGTTCAACTGGGTATACATCTCAAGCACCTTTGCGGAAGATCGGCCGTTAGCTGGATGTTCCGACTTCATCAGCATACCGCTGAAGCTGAGTGCCACAGAGTACGTCCCAGCCCACCATGGCGACCGCTTGGCAGCCTTAGGAGTGCGCTAACTGCGTGATCTAGGAGTATGTCTGCTGCGGTTCACTTTCTATCCTTACCGCATTACGAACATACACACAGCTCCCTTTCTAATAAGCAGTATACTTGCCGTTGACGTCGTCGTCCTTGTTTCGACATGGATAAAGTCATTTGCGCACTGGCGGGAGATGCGGCGACTCAAACTCCCCTCGCCCATTTGTGCTGTGCTGCTCAGAGACGGTGTGCACTTCACCCCTTTTCACTTGCCCATGAACAATGCGACTCAGGAAATACTGATATAGGCACCGTCTATTTTCTGTGAGCTATCAGATCATGTGTTTTTACTGTGACCGTATCTAACATATGAGCTCCGAGTGCACTCATAGGCTTTAGTGTTATAGAAATTGTGACAGTTTCAATTGGTCTCCCGTATAATGTAATTATCCAATATTGCTCCGGAAAGGTTCTGATGTCGTGTCGACAGGGCTCCTATATGATCATTATCGTCTCGTACATGGTAATCATTTGATGAGTCCGGAGGACAGGGATAGTCACTGACTATGTGTCGATGTTTACAGCCCCTCTTGCTGGTGCACCGCTTCATTCTTAACCTCCGCCAGCTCAACCACACCGCCGAGGCTAGTGACAATAGCACCAATGCGCAACGCTCTTCTCGCTTCTCTGTCAGCTTCAGGATGCCCTCCGATTTTCTTGGGAATATTGGCGAGCCTCTGGACTATGGCGAGTCAGATCGGGCAGAAGAAGACGGCAACAATGGCCACTGGGCAGCGGAAGAGCCCCGAGACGGGCTCGAAGAGGGCATCGTGCGCCGGGCGCGCCCGTCGACTACGCGCTGGGAGAAACTTGCAAGAATCGGTGCCGCCCCCGTGCCAATTCTACTATCGGTCGAACGTGCAAGCGAAGAGGGTGACACTGGGCGGTCTGCTTCCCCGTAGGGAATCGTGACTGAACCTTTCATGACGGCAGATTAGGTGAGTATTTTGCTTTGTGCTTCGTAAAGACGGCTTGACGTAGCCGCCTTTCAGGCAGATTCTGATGTGTGGCAGAGCCATGAATGTATTACTAGCTGTCGGTGGCTACCGATTGCTGTGATACCCATGCCAGCGTTGAAGCGTACGGTCACTTTTTTTTGTATTCCTCTGTAAATTATATTAGTTGTTTATTGCTATGAACGGTACAACTCCGTATAAACTCGACATAATGGGACTCCACTACTGACAGACTTAGCGGTATGGTAGCGTGGAAATTATTACTTGGACGTACAGCTTGTAGGGTTGACACATCAGGTATCTCTGTCTAGCTTCGCGGGGGGGGGGAGGAGCAATTGGCGCCCTTATGGGCGTCTTTTGAGTTTAATTCAGGATACTTCCCTTCGCCGCATACAGCGTTGACCAAGTATGGACATGAATTTTGTAGATCCTTGCAAGGATACCGTGAGACACATCCTTGCCGTGCACAAGTTGGAAGCTGAGATTGGATAGAGAAACAGGCTAACAGCTGAAATGTTACCTCACGCTGGATAATATCTATTGCACCCGGTCGAGCTGTCTCTTCAAATGCGAGCGGCTTGCAGCTACTTCGGCACGCTGCCTTTCCAATCCAGAATGGTGCCGACGACGTCGAAGAAAAAACTTCGACGCCCACAAGAAAAGCTGTGTCCGTCGATGACATGGTGGTCGGGAGCAAGATGCAGGAAAGTCTGGGTGCCCAGGACTGTCATGAATATTACATAGTCCGGAGGGTTCTCCTGGATTCCATAGTATTCTTTCACTTTCTATACACCTCTGTATATTCGTAGTATATCCTAGGTATTGAGTCTGACATGTATATAAGGAGCTAGTGATGTGCGGGCCGGGCCTCAAAGCTTGCAAGCCTGCCAAGCCCGGCCCAAAAAGCCTGGCCCGAGTCAAGCCTGGCAGCGGGCTCAAGGCCGGGCTCGGAGCGTAGTCAAGCCCAAGCCCGGCCCGGAAGCCCAGGCTTGGGTGTGCTGGCTCCGTTACTGTTCCCTGAGTTCAGAATAAGGAGAGAGCGACCTAATATGCACATAGAAGACAAAATGTAGATATTCTAGATGTAACGGCTCTTGCCGAGCACAATTGTGCGTCACCATCTGGTGCCTGCCGTAGGCGCATGCCTGTGGACTTCGCTGCAACTCGACTTGTTCCGCAGGTGTAGATCTTCTGGAGGTTATAATTTAGTGAGTACATGCAGTATTAATCTACTACACCCAAATACATTCCCTTTTGATAGCACCAGAACACTCGTTGTATTGTGAGCAAGCCCGGGCTTAAACCCAAGGCTTGGGCCGGGCTCGGGCTCGGCTCGGGCTCAGGGCTCGGCTCGACGTCGTCACAAGCCCAAGCCCGGGCTTTGAGCCCAAGCCGGGCCCGCACATCACTATAAGGAGCTCGTACTGCTCAATAACAAGCCAGACTCGAGCTGGTCTTTCCTCACTCACTTTCCTCTTGTCTGTCTCCTCAGTTGTGTCGTAGCTCAGTCCAGTTGGATTGTTAGTTGCTGACAGGGACGGTGTTAGCAGCTCAGAGAGTGGCTGCGGTCACCGTCATCTTATAATTTCAATGAGCTTCAAATGCATTATATACCAAAGCACTCCTAGAGCACCATTCAATTGCAGGGAAGAGTTTGCGCTGGCAATATTTCCTCTGAAACAAGAGTCAAATAATGTCCCACAGAAGTGCGAACGATAGCCAGGGGCACCTAGGTAGAATAGCGCTCTGACACCGTTAAGTTGGGCTCTGGTAGCAGTCCCATGGAGGATAGGGCTTACACCTGACATGAGGAACGTTCCGCAATGACACTCGAGGTTAGCGTCTGTGCAGGGATGGCACAAATTTAGTCATATCTGTATAGCATTGATGATCTTGCCAGCTGCACATATACAGCTTCGCTAAAAATTAGGTCATTCACAAGCTAGCAAACAAAGGATGCCCAGCGCGATTCCTGGAACTTCAGCTCCAAGCCTCAAGCTTTCAAGTTTCGGACCTGAAGAACAAAGATGCAGGCATGAATACAAGAGACTACTCCAAAATGAGAAAGTGATCCAGACCATTGGGACTCGGCAATGCACATATAGCTGTCAATTAACAGAGGCGTCCATGAAACTGAGCAATGTGCGACTGAATGTACTTGGTAATTCTGATAGTTTGCAAGAGCGGCAGACATGGGCGCGCGAGAAAAGGCGTCCGACAATCCTGTTTGAAAGAGAACTGAGGTGCTGTAGATTGGGAAGACACTTCTCCTTATCGCGGGGGCAGATAGTACTATGGAAATCCCACTTCTTACCATTATCAGGCATATTAATGGCCTTTCACCGCCTCATAGCATTGCCTTTCCACTGCTATACTACTTTAGTACGGTTTTCTTACAATTTATGACCATCTTCAGGCCCCATTTAGTGCTGACACTTTTGCAGTCCCTTCGTGATCTTCGACCAAGTACTTTTGGCAGTGATCTCACATCTGGAAATGGCTGAGATATAAATGTTGATAAACGGACGACCTTGAAGTCAGTCACAGATTGCGCAAGGGGTTGGCTGCAGTGCCTACACTTCATACAACTCCTCCCCCACATCCCCACGTCAATGATGTCTGCACAGTCTGACACGGCTCTTGTCCAAGCATATTACCAGCTGCAAGTATCATCCCTGTCCACACTTGACAACTTAATACTCACGCCTAAGTTATCTTCCAGCACCACGAGTAACTATGATAGTGTAGCTTTCATGTGCAAGTACATCCTTTATTTCATATTGCATCATTTATATAGTGTCTGCCCCTCAGCTCTTGTTGTCTACAAGTTCCTGATTACTGTCGATGACAAGATTGAGATTGTTTGGAAGAGACCCATCACTGCATCTGCCATACTCCTTGGCTCAACATGATGGTGTTTGCTGCTCACAGCCACCATGCAACTTGTGCCGTTAACTTTGAACGTGAGCCTCCAAGTTAATTCTTTTTTTCACTTTGTGTAATCTGCAACAATGCTTGTTACAGAAGTAAGTGCACTTTTTTTGGGGCTTGTGGGTAACACTTGCAGGTCACTCACCAGAGCTTAACACTCAGCTGCATGCAGCTTCAAACTTTGGACTGGATATTCGCTGTCATTCAATATGTTCAAGTCGCACGTACGCCGCCTACACAGTCAAACCAACTATATATGAATATTAACTTTCTCATGCTAGCTTTTTCCGCTCTGCGTGTGTTTGCAATCTGGGACAGGAGCTATGTCTGGTCACTGGTGGTGCTCGCGCTGAGCCTAGTGCCGTTCGCAACAAATCTAGTGCGCATTGCTTCTACTCAAAACTCATGTGCGCTCTCGTTGATGCTTCCATGCAGCTTATCGCCGCGAGAAGCAGAGACAGGTCTGCTATGGACACAATCCCTGGAGCAATATGTGTCTGGCTTTCTTTGATCTCTGAGCGAACGCATGGCATATGGGTACAATCGTGCACATGCCTTACCGCTAGACTTTTGGAGCACTAAAATTTCGCAATATAGATGTAGGTTCCACGGCCAGAGCATTATAACGTGCCTGAGATACTGATACCACGTGCCTACAGTCACATATATTATGCATGCCTTGCTCATTCTTGCCGACAATATTGTGCTCTCTCTGACATGGATTAAGACATTCGGGATCTGGAAGAATGCCTACCGCCTCCACATGAGAGTGTCGCTAACGACATGCCTGCTGTGTGATGGTCAGTGGTCTCCACATGCCTTCACATTTCCTGTTGCTAAAACCCAGCTGTGTACTTGCAGAAACTATCTATTTTATGTGAGTAAACGATATCAGAGGGAATATGCTATAGGCTGAAAAGGATATAGGGCTCTACTGGCAACGAATGTAGCCGAGATGATGATCAACCACAACTTCACTATGGTACGTCCCCGGTGTGAACATGTGTAGTGGATGGATTACATACGTCGAGTTTAAGAATGCATCACTTGTGGGCATGCCGAAGACAATCTTAGTGTGTGTCCTATGCTCCATCAGTCCTTTTCATACTCACTGGCAGGCCATGCAGCCCCCAATACTTGTTAGCCGCTTCATGATTAACCTACGGATGGCCAGCTCGGCAGTATCAGACTACTCTGGGCACACCAGTGATCAGCAGCAAGGGCAGTCAGCACTCAACCCGGATCATCAGAGAATCTGCTGGGAAATATTGGGGGAACGCTGTAGGATAGCTGGAGCGACAAATTCTGTAGTGAAGAGGACAATGGCACAGGAGTAGGCAAGGAAAGATGTCTTGAGACCAGTGTCAGAGCGTAATCTGACGTTGATAACTGTGCTGGGCTCTAGAGTATGCTCTGTTTCAAACGACAGTGGCAATTGTAACTTACTTGTCCGAGAAAGAAGGTCGAGGCTGATGATATCAAACAACCCAAATCAAGTGGCATGTCAACGGGTCTAGCGGTGAATGCATACATGCATTTCGGGGTTGTCATGCATCTCCACACAGTAGACTACTATTCTAGGTGGCGGCCTTCAACAAAAACCGAGTATTTCTGAGAGCGGTCGTGAAAAAAATCATGTAGGTAGCTGCCGTTGAAGAGGCTGCGGTGTCTCCTCTAACATTGTGGTCCCGCAATACTGACACTTCTTGTAGGTCCAACAGCGACCAAACTCAATGGGTGCAGCCACCAGGGCTTGACGTCCGCTCTTAACCAGCGCATCATTTCCATACCACGAAACTACACAGAAATTGCAAAGCCTCTCACCACATGCAACTTCAATCCCATCGATCCTATTTCTGCCATTACCATTATAGGGGCAATATTGCTTTTGAACATGCACAGAATGGCTGAGGACTGGCACCAGCAGCATACATCAAGGTGCCTGGAAGGACTGACCTGGGACGAAGGAGAAGAGGCCTAGGTTGACAAATGTGACGCAAGGTGCGCTTTGCTGGACCATTATCAAGTCTGTGGGGATGTAACCCCTGCTTGCAGGGAGCGTGCTCCTCTAGCACAGCCATTTCTGTAGGCGGGCAGCAGGCACTCACTGAAATTCAATACGGACTGAGTAGAAGAGCTGAACATGCCATGTACAGTGCTACATAGTATTCTCCAAGACATGCAGCACTGGCACCCTGTCAGTCTAGGCTTCTTGAAGAGAGAAGCAACTAGGATCGTGGTTGGGCAAGTGTCAAGTTTAGCGCCTATTGCTCTGCCCTTTTTAGCTTTGGGCGAGATCGGCAAGTACTTAGCGCCCTAGGGAACACAGGACGAACGCTCGAGTGATGCGATCACACCTCCACCCCAAAGTTCCTTGGCCAGGTGCCTGCACAACTGACAACATGTCAATGCAGTGGCGTTCCGAGGCGCATATAATCCTCAGATGACCACCGATGGCCATCGTGCCCTGTGATATCTCGGCTGCCATGGTGCTGTTCCTCATTGGCCTCACCTCCTCTGCATTTTGTAGGTGCTTGTTGGCGGCGCCAAGCAAGTAGTAAACATTGAGGTCGTGGTGCACCTGAAGCACTTTGATGTGAGCCATCTTCTCGCTGAGAAGCACGCGCGTGTGAGTGACAAGTTGATGAATTGGTACGACAGCTTGACAATGCATGACCCTAAATATGCCTGCTCTCGTTTGTCGGTTTTATCTTAGACTGACTTTGTTGTACGCAGAGAGCAGTGATATACTGTACCCTCCACAAGTTGCTGTGTTGCAATTGTGAATAAATTCATATATATTCTTCCATATTTTCCCAATTCCTGACTGGTCTTTCCTTCTGCCTGAACTGTACGCTAACAATTTTGCGAGCTGCGATTCGTCTTACTGGCCCACTCCACAGCTAGAAAGCTGGCTTGAACTCTACGCACTCGAGCTGGACATCTGTATCTCCCCAGAGGCTATCAGAGCAGTCCACAGCAAACAGACGGGCAAATGGGACGTTGTCCTTCGGCATGCTGACGGCCCAGAGCAAACTCTGCATGTTGACCACATTATGCTAGTGCCAGGGTGCATTTTAAAAAGGACGACACTCCCATTACAGGTGCCTGCTACTCAGGTGCACATAACGCATCTTCTCACCAGCTTAGCTTTGACAGGAGGACGTCCAAGGGCACCTCATTCACCCAACAATATTCAAATTTACGAGGGATTTTGAAGATAACGAGGCCACGGTCATTGGTAGCTGCACTTCAAGTGCACCCATCACTCCTAATATCCTGGGACCTATGCCGGATATTGAAGATAAGTATATCTGATGCAGCACATGATATCTATTTGGGCTGCGCAGACAGCAGCATCAGTAAGCCGTCCAAACATTTTCATGTTCAACGTCCAAGCAGAAAGCCTCGTGGACGTGACAATGGTCCAGCGCAGCTTGAGGTACATTGTATCCCTCAACTCCGGCATTCTCACCCTCCTCTCAGGGCCTTCTGTTACTATTTCTGGCATACATTCCAGTACAATGAATGCCCAGTATCACTAGGAGGGGATCCCGCGTGACAGCCTCAGCTCAACATGCACTCGCTTTTTTTCAGCTTCGAGCCTGAGCAGCCCATGGCCAAACGCCGTGCCATGGATGTTCGAGAGCTAGACAGGCATGTGACTTCCCACATTCCTCTGTAGCATGTCTAAAAAAAACATCCCAGCGAGCAGTCTGACAACCTTTCCAAGGCCAGACACAGGCTCGACAATGGCAGCAAGAGCGATAAAGTAAAATCAAGCCTGTTTGACATATGCAGTAGGAGGTAGGATATCGATGTGTCAGCCTCTTAGTGGCTTGCCGGTATTATGTCCCACAGTGAATCACAATACGCTGCAGATAACGGCGCGTGCCGGAATATTGTTGGCGACAGGATCCAGGTCAAATCTGGGGTCATGAGGTCGACCAGATTACATTGAGCAGCGTCGTAATTGCAGACGAAAGCAAGCTGCTTGCAGTTGCCATCGTCACACAGTGCACCACTCCAGCTCACCCCAACTCACGACCAACCAGCCTCGTGTGTTTTTTAGTGTGTGTTAGATCAGATTACGTGCACGCACTGATCCGCAAACTGCTTTTATATGCAATCAGAAGTTGGTAATGGGTTTTCATTTGCACAAAAGGCCTGTGACGGACTAAAACTAGTGAAAATTGGGTATTTGACTCACTGGTCCTGCAATCCATAGTACATATGAGTAAGAGCCCCTGCACCGCCATTTTACAGGAACGCGTCTGGCCATCTATAGCGATAAACAATTGGCAAAGTCCTAAGAGGAATACAGATAAAAGAGGAGAGATTGGAATGGTCATCAATATGAGAACTGGAGCGCAACGCAACGAGAGGTGTCCAGAGTCCGCTTCGACACCTGTGTCAAGCAGTACAACGGGCGGTGGCCACTGACGGCCATATATTCGAGGTTCTGCCACATATCTGAACCTGCTCGAAGAGAGGCTACGTTAAGCTACAATAATGAAGCATCGAGCAAATTACTCACCTAGTCGGCAGCCGCAGAAGGTCCAATCATCATTGCATGCAGAAAATCAGATGACACGACACCGCTGTCCTCTTTGCTCCGATGCTCAGTGAATTGCAAAACTAACCTGAGGGCGACGTCAGCTCCCATTGTTTCCTCTTGGCATGTGACTGACAGGTCTACATGCTGTGCTAGACCCTCTTCAAGTCCGTCTCGCTGCTCTTCTGGCACACGGTGGCCGTTGTCGCCAACTCCCTCAGCTTGCTCCAACCGACCATGGTCCAGAGGCTCGCCAATATTCCTGAGAAAATTAGAGGGCACCCTAAAACTCACAAAAAAGCCAGAACAGTGCTGCGTGTGGGAACTATTTTCACTAGCCTCAGCAGTGTTGTTGAGTTGGCATAGATTGAGGATGAATCAATTCACCAGCAAGGGGGGCTGTAAGCACCAATGCCTAGTCAGTGATTATCCTTGTTATCTAGGATTAGTATAGGCTTGTTACCATGTACTCAATAAAGAGGTTGCCATAGGTGCCCTGTCAATAGTACAAGATTAGAACTGTTCAACTCGAAGGATGCGTTCAAATGATTACTTCTTCAGAGAGATTGTTTGAGTATGTTAAAAGTTGTAAAACACCTATGCCTAGAAGTGCACTCAAAGGCCATATGTTAGACAGAGTTGTCGAAAAGTCTCATGATATAATAGCTTACAGAAAATAAAGTGTGCCTTGACCAGTATTCCTTGAGTCGTGTCATATATGGGCAAGTGAAAGGTGGCAAAATGTGTACCATCTCTGAGCAGCACAGCAGAAATAGATGAAGTAAGCTTGAGTTGCCGCATCTCTCGCCAGTGCTTGAATGACTTGATCCATGTTAGTACAAGGACAATGATGTCGGAGGCAATCACACTGCATCATGTAAGAACAAGCACTGTATGGATGTTAATAGTGCGGCGAGGATAGAAATTGGAGCGCAGCAGACATACACCTAGATAATGCAATTAGCACACAGCCAAGCGGTCGCCGTACCGAGCTACTAGTAGACTGTAACATACTCTATGTTCAGCTGCGAAGATATGTTGCTGAATTCATAACACCCAGAGAGCAGTGGAATCTCCGAGTTCACAAAAGTGACCGAGATACGTGCCCAGTGAAACTGAATGCGTTATAGTAAGATTTAACTACATGGCTAATAGAGGAATGGCTCACAATGTTCGTACCAACTGGGGCTGTCCCAAGCGTGAGTATAACCGCAGAGAAGATGTATTTCATCCTTGAGCCTTGCCAGAGCTCATACACATACAGGGCAGAAAATCCTGGGAAGAGAATCAACCCATTTTTAAGTCCATATAGTTTGACGGCTAATGTGCTCGGTGCTCACCCAAAATTGCGACTGTGACTGCCAAGTACACAAAAATTTCCAGCTCGTAAATGAGTTTGCACCTTGTACCAATTTCACCCATTTATCAGAGCACATTTCTCCAGATCATGCCATGGTGCACATCTGTAGAGCAGTATCGTGAGGGGAACATATATTTAACCGAAGTTGTCATACTCACACCTAGTTTGTCCCCAATTTACAGCCTGCAGAATTGGACCCAGAACCATAGACCACCGTAGACTCAGCAACAGCAGTGAGGTGGCTGTGAACTTTCTTCTCCACACTGCTGTAATTTCTCAGTCAAATGTTATAATGTAGTCATAGACTACAAGACCTGATAATGAGATTTATCAGCAGAGCCCCGCCAAGGCTTAACTATGATGCAACGTATACAGTAGTGAATATGACACATTGCTTGTTGTCAGACTAGATATGTAGCTTGTGTGTCAGGGCAGAGTATGTGTGCTCCAGGGAGAGAAAATCCGTACAGTTCTTGTATATACTGCTTTGAAATTTGATTTAACTGGGCCATTATACTAGTGGTGCAAGAAGGTGCAAGCTGGTCGGTGCAGAGAGGAAAGCTCGTATACAAGCTCTATATATTGCTGCACATGTAGTGCTGTGAGGCAATCTGCTGCAGATTCCAAGATCACAGCACATTTCAACACATCTGACTGTTGTAATAATTACCTCACTGGAGAATCAGGTATAGCATAGCTCTTCAAGACCAGCATAGTTTGTGGTTGCCTCTACAGTCAGATAGAAGTGCAGTGAAAGCGTAAGATCAATTCTGAGATGTAAGTTGCAACCGTTGCATGGTATTCAACATTTCTGCTGGAAATAGAACTACTCAACTGATAGACAGACCAGCTGATTGTAGCATCGAATAGCATGGCTTCCTTTTTCTGATGCAATGTAGCCAAGAGTTGGGGAAGGTAGTGCATGTTACAGCAGGATAAAGGAGGAGAGAATGATGCCATGATGTTCGACGTGGGATAACAGACCTTTGTAATGAGAAGAAGAGTTTGCATAGCCACCTGCTCAGTTTGCGGCAGGCCATGGTCCAGTCAACGCATGCTACCGTTTCAGCTCTGTGTGAGAATACAGGGAGTTAGCGCAATATCTCAGTTCGCTGAACCATCTGATTCATCAGAGTGACAAGGAATGACCACGGCTCAGCATCAACTACGCTTTCACCTGCTCTGACTCCCCCTCACCATCACAACACCATGCAGCCTCAGGCTCACCATTGCTTCTAGAACGGATTTGAATGCAGCAAGTTGGTCGCCCTCTTTCCAGAGCATGTATGCCAACAGGATTCCTCAGACTGTGATAAACTTGCAACAAAGCAAGCCTGACATTATGATGCATCATACTGTGTGCTGGGCGGCTGCCATTGCCCATCTGGTGTTTGACTAACCACAGATGTGCAGCATAGCCCATGCTGCGTGCAGCGGCAATGCGTTGTGAATGCTGGTGAGATGTGGGCAAGATGTGGGCAAGATTGTTATTGCGGAGTGATGATCGATGGCTGCACGAGCGCGAACTGGCTCACACAAGAGCACGTAGCACAAGGTGTCTAACACACAAAGGCAGAATGCCATAAGTCTGGGTGCGAAGGCAAAGCAGGCTGACAAGTGGCGTCGTCACACTGGATCTGCCACAACAGAGAGGAACCATGCACGACAAGCAGCCAGCTGAAGTATTTCCTGATTTTTGGTGCGTAAATTACTGTTAGGTAAGGGGCTCCGTGCTAAGCGTATGTTATGTACAGCAGTGGTAAAAGCTTGGTCGAAGATGGTCGCGGGTTGAATATTGTCGTTTCTCCTGTATAGAGTATGCTGCAAACTCCACTGCATGTTAAGCTGTCTCTCATATGCCAGCATACATACAAAGCTCAGGCTATCAATGCTCGGCATTGTGCTCTGTGATATCTTCTCCATCTGGACAACGTTTCAGCGGACCTCGCCAGTTTCACCTTTGTTGTGAAAGACTTCGTGCAGGCAGGGAATTCATGAGTAATCAAGGATAAATTCCTAGGATAATACTACATGTTCTTATATAGGTTATCTACTTCCTAATCTGGTCAGACCAATAAAATGTACCTTAGGAAGCTGAGACTACAAGGAAACATAACGGGGCGCAGAGCCGAGAGTGCTCTGCGTGGGTCATATCTAAAACGGGCATGACAGATCCATATTGGGCATGACGGCCTAAGCGCGTCATGTCGGTATCTCTGCCGGCGCGGCTGATGCGCATCCGGCGCCTCAGATACTACAACAACCTTCCCAGTACTCACGGTCCTGGCTTGCGCTCTGCAAGCAAAGCTGAATATTGTTACTACTGTCCTGCTGAACGCTACATATCTCATATTTGTGGTCATTGGTGGCAGCACCGCTGGACCCGCACTCTCCGCGCGGCTCTCCTCGCATTCGAGCATCAGCGTCCTAATCATTAAAGCCGTGCTAAATAACTGCACTGACCTTACGACAGACCACTTGACTGGAGCTTGTCTACAGTCCAAGGGTGAGCAATTGACGAGTACTACTTCTTTCCTAGTACACAGTCCATGGCCGATGCTTACTTACGCGCGCTATCTAGAGGGACGACGCTTGCTCGATCAACGGCGCGGCATGGACACGCGGACAAGACGCGCAATGTGACTCGTGGAATGAGCTGTTGACTCCCGAGGAGAGACTAGTCAGTTAGGGATGGTCCGGCGAGCGAGGTCTATTGAGCCACATGAAGAAGGTCAGCTGTCACGGTATTGCACCTCTATTTGAACATCCTTTTGATTAACGCGCATTGTTCAGAGTGAAACATTCCACCCATCATATGCACTTCAACGTGTTCACCTCAACGCGTCCTACGAGCCACCCTTCCATGGATTCTCAGGGCCTGTTCAAGGCTTTTTCACCAGTGCCAATCTCATGCCAAGCAATGCATCCGGTGCTGGGATCAAGCAGAGCGCTTTCATCGCGGCATGCAAGAGTGCAGCAGGCCCTGAGCTTTGCTGCTCAGAGACAGTATGTATTTCGCCCTCTTTCATTCACCCATACACGATGCAACTCAAGGAATATCGGCCTCGGCACTCTTTACTTTCTGTAAGCCATAATATTATGTGTCCTTTCATTAACTCTGTCTGACATATGACCTCTGAGTGTACTTTTAGGCATAACCATTTTACAGCTTCTAACGTACTCAAGCAATCCCGCAGATGAATAAATTGTTTGATTGCATCCTTCGAGAACGGTTCTGATCTCATGTCAGCAGGTCACCTATGCCAACATCTTTATTGAGTACATGGTAACAGGTCCATAAGCCCGGGTAACAGGAATAACAACTGACTGGGCGTTGGTGCTTACAGCCCCCTTTGCTGGTGCATCAATTCATCTTCAACCTACGCCGGTCCAATCATACTACACAAGCCAGTGAGAACAACTCCAGCACGCAGCGCTTTTCCCGCTTCTCTGAGAGCTTCAGGGTGTCCTCCAATGTCCTCGGGAATATCGGCGAGCCTCTAGACCATAGCCGATCCGAGCAGGTTGAAGAAACCGGCGAAGTCAATGGCCACTGCCACGTAGCGGCAAAAAGAGCCACGAAGAGGACTTCACGCACCAAGCAGGCCCGTCTGCGCCCACGTGCCGGGAGAAACTAACAGGAGCTGACACCGTGCCAGTGCCAATTTCGCGATCCATCTGACGTGCAAGCGAAGGGGGTAGCTCTGGAATGCCTGCTCTCCCGTGCGGAATGGTATTTGGACTTTCTGTGACGACCGATTAGGTGAGTCGTGTACACCGGCTGGTACATTCGCCCCGCAAAGCCCTGGGTCAGTGCGACGAGATCAAAGTGACTGGCAGCACATGCGCCAACAAGAATAGAATCAAAACGCACGCCTTGGACATTCTGAGCATGCCTTCGTATCCTACGTCGACACCACTACTATTTCCGCGCTGGCGACAAGTGTCGCGAACCCGGGCATCTTTGCTGACTCTTCGCACCGTGCAGAGCAGAGTTGTGGTCGAATTCAAGTATAACAGATGGTGCAGTTTGCTCGGCTGCCCTGCTGAAGGAGTTGGGCGTGTAGGCCGTCCGCGTCAGTGCGTGCGGTACGGCGCCGCTACCCTTTGGTGCTCCGGTCTCGTGCAGTGATAACGGGATACCCTATAGTGCTTTTATAAACATTTTCGAGGAACGCCGCATAGTAGGGAAGGTATAAATGCGATTACCTGAGTGGTCAAGGCTGGCTAGCACTCGTTCCGGGCGGGAACTTTCAGTCTCGGAGGAAGGCGTGAAAAGGCTGTGCGGCGCGTGCTACTCAGCAGAGAGAAAAGCCAGCGGCAGGACCCGGAGCTGAAGAAGCTGTCGGTTCAGCAGCACAGAGCTTAGCTACGATGGAGGCAGTGTGTGGGTCGATGACCGAACACGGGGCTAATTTTATACTATTTTGTGCGGATAGAGGTACAAAAACACATTCAGTTTGTTTCGTAAATACACTTAAGCTATTTTCCTATGGGGATGTTATTGTTTTAGTGGTATGAAAAGATACACTGCTTTTACACCTTTTGAGGTATTAGGAGAGCCGAAATATTCTCAGGGTGAAATCATCATCATTTCTTTCTCCACATTTTCCCCAAAAAGGTTCCTTCCAGGTGAGACAAAAAGAGCAAACTTATTTTGTGGTTCCTGTCTCCACAAAATATGAGGTAGAAAAGCTGGACTTTTATCAGGGAAACTTGTATGGAAAAAACTGGTATTGTTTTCAGACATAAGATTGGTCACCCACTCATGGCCTATTGCCCCCTTCTCATCGTCTGCTGTGCGCCCACTCATCGCCTCGCGCATTGATGGCCACTTGCTAGGAGATCGCCCGCACATCACCCACTCATTGCCCACTCATTGCCCACTCATTGCCCACTCATTGCTCACTCATCGCCAAAACAATGGTGGTCACTTACCAGTAAATCGCCACTTACAATGCATGACCACTTAAACAAGCAACTAATCACCTCGCGAACAATTAATCACGTCGTCTCCACTCCCGACGCCGGTGCACTTGCGCGAGAGCACCACAAACTGGCAGACGGACGTGACAAGTGTCGCGTCGTTGCGGCGCGTGCCCGCCAGCGCGGCGTCGATGCTCCGGATGCGGCCGCACGCGCCGTCATCATCTCGCCTGCCGTTCACCAGGCCTACACGACTTGCCGTCCCTCTACCAACATGCCGCTCTCGGTCTCGTTCAACTCAATATCTCCCCGCATGCAGATATCTTCCTTATTCCTGCACGATGCGTCTCCGTCGTCTCCATCCCCCCGCTTGCGGTCCCTGCCTCTTGTCTCCAACTAACACCCTCCGCAAACCACATCATCACCTCCGAAGACCTGCAACGGCTCCGCGCGCTCACGAAGCCTCTTCCACCTGCGCTCCCCAGTCCGTCCTCCTCCTCGCCCGACCGCGCCGAGGCGTACACCTTCATCCACCCCTCCCTCAACATCTACTTTGCCGACCTTTTATCTGCCGCGCGGCACCATCCGCTGCTCGATGGCAGGCTGCTCACGCTGCGCGCGCACTGTGACGCCACGGCGCTCGTGCGCACGTACCGCGTGCTCTGTGGGTGCAGCCTTGGCGCGGAGCTCATCGCGAGCGTCGCTGCCGCTGCGCCCAGCGAGGACACGAGCGAGGACGACGACGAGCTCCGCACCGCTCACGCAAACGTGCACTTGTGGAACAACAACGGCGGCGACGGCAAGGACGCGTGGCTCGGCGCCGAGATCCATGCGGGCCGCCGCAAGATGGGGAGCGTGCGCAGCGTCGAGGTACACGTCAAGGGACCTGACGTCGACGCCGGGGCCGATCATGCCTCCCCTGGTTGCGCACACAACGGGCCGCCACGCGCCGCGCACGGCGGCGTTCGCGAGCCACGACAGCTTCGCGCCGAGCAGCCTCATAGCACCGCTGCCGTCGGCGCCCGAGGTGTGGGACGTGAGCGAGATCGACGCCGAGCAGGTCTTCCCCCATGCGGGTTGTCCGCTTGCATTGCCCGACCCGCTCGCGTTCGTGGGCGCTGTTCAGGCGACCGGCAGGTAGATCAGTGGGCGACCAGTGGACGACCAGTGGACGACCAGTGAACGTGTCAGCGGGCACACACAGCAACGCCAAAAAATAGTCAATGTATTTGTATTACAGTTCTTTTGCGACAAAAGTCAGCTCTCCTATTTGAGCAAATAGATAGTAGATGCATACTTTTTTTTGTACCTATCCCAATAGAAAATATATCTATTATTCTATATATGGATAGCCCAGCAGTATTTGTACCTCTTTTTGCTGCAAGCAGAACAGCTTTTTGCAACAGGATTCACCAAAAAAAAGGTGTCTTTGTTTGGCTCCTATTTCCAGGTTTTACCTATTGTATGTTTTTACCAGAAAGTGTTCGGTCTTTTTGGCTTCTATTCTCATAACGATTTTCGTCCCCCTTTCAGCTGAAAATATTAACTAATTAGCCCCGTGGAAGTGGGACGGCTCGCAGACGCCACAAAGCCTGCGCCGGAACGATCGGCGGGTAAAGAGCCTACTTGTGCCAATGGCGCATCATATCCCTGTTTAGTCTCGGGCGGGAACGGCGAGCAATTGGCGCCCGACTGGATATCTTTCGAGTTTAATGCAGGATGCTTCCTTTCGCCGCATACGACGTTGACTAAGCATTGACATGATTTTGAGACGCATCACACTCTTGCGCCCACAGAGAAGTACACCGTACACCTTTGTAGCCCAAAAGTGTACCGTGTACCCAAACTGCACGCTCGCACAGCTCAACGCCCGCACCTCGCAACGGCTTTCATCACCTATAACCTCGCACTGCCGTGCCTTGTTGTTACACGCTCTAGCACTAAGCCCCATCATTGCGATGCGGTCGCATCTTCACCCCGAAGCGCTAGCCATGGCGAACGGTGCGCCGAGATGCTCGTCGCCTATGGAGCGCAAGGTTTTGGAGCGCGCTCCGTCGACACGGCCACCGCCATGAACGGTAAGCAGCTTGTCTGTTGTAGAGTGATCACGAGATAGCCTAGTCATCCACATCAGCCGGAGTCAATCAACTTACGCCGCACAGTGTGCTGACGGGCTCTGCCTTCGGAGATGTCAGTAGCGCAGCGTGCATGCACCCGAATTCATCCTATATCATTGTTGTGCGGCCTTCACCCGCCGGCATGCAATGAATGCGCGATAAAAATATGAGCATTTTGGTGCGTACCTCAGCACCACTGGCAGATGCATTCGTCCCGCGAATCCCTGAATCTGCAGTGAGATCACAGGACTCCGCGCTTTCGTGTGCCAGAGCCCAGATTCTGAGTTCTTGATCTGCATCAAAGTCGCCCCCACATCACGCTGGCATCCGCAGTGCACTGCCGCCACAGGCCGCGAGCTATGGTGAACGCAGCTGGAGCGGCACCAGCGTGGGGAAGGCAAGTGCGCTCAACGCGCGGCATCTATCAAACTCGCTTCGTTGCGAGTACTTTGCCAATTGGGGAACTCTGACCGCATGCGCTCCCTGGATTTGGGAACTGAGCATCTCATCCGGTGCGGCGTCGGGCTCGTACTACGCTTCTATCTGATTGTAGAGGCAACCACAGGTTATACTGGTCACAGGATCACGCCACACCTCAATCCCCGGTGAGACGATCATCACAATAGCTAGGTATCTACGCGCTGAAACGATCTGCAATCTTCTGGCATGCAGCTAATGGCCTTGTAGCACCGCATGTGCTCCAATATATATAGAGCTTGTATGTGAGCTTGCCTCACTGCATCGTCCAGCCAGCATCTTCTTATACCGCAGATGTCCCAGTCAAACGAAAACCTGAAACAGGAGTATCAAGAAATGTATGTGTTAAACACTCCATAGGAAGCCAATACATTGTCTCTGACGCACGAGGCATGTATCCAGCGAGACAGAAAGCTATGTCCTTTTCTCGTTACTGTGTACGTTGCTGAACTGCTAAGACTCGGTGGTACTCTGTTGAAGAGCTTCATCCTTAGGCCTTGTAGTCTACGAATACGTCATGACGCTGGACCAAGAAATCGCGGCAGTGTGGAAAAAGAAGTTGACGGCCACGTCGCTATTGTTACTGGGCACCCGGTGGCTCATGGTTCTAGGCCCGGTCCGAGTGGTTGTAATACCCGGTAATATACGAATTTGGTGTGAGTATACAACACTTGGAAATCGACTGATCTCATGGTGCCGTTTGACAGGCATTCACCACATTTTATGGAGAGACATTTTTGACTAAACCCCCACGTTTCATACAAGGTGTAAGCCAGCTTACGTGCTAGATACGCTGATGTACTTGTCGGATACAGTCCTGGTTTCGGGTGAGAATCGGCGCACTCGTCATCACGCTGTATAAAAACCAACAGCCTCTATGTCTAGCATTCACCGCTCTGCGCGTGTATGCGCTCTGGCAAGGCTCAAGGTTCAAGTATATGTTTCCTGCGGTCGTATTCGCGCTTGGAGTGGTTCCAGTCGGAACAAATATTGTGAGTCACCCCTCCGTCAGCCAGGTCGTTGATGCTTTGCCGACATACATCCAGTTCAACTGGGCAAAAACCTCAATCGTTTTCTTAGATAATTCAGAGCTTGTTGGATGTTTCTACATCAACAGCGTACCGCCAAAGCTGAATACGGAGTATGTATCATCCTGCTGTCACGCAGACTTGGCTGTGCACTGACAGCATTGTTCAGAAGTATGTCTACTGCGCTTCACCTTATATTCTTACCACATTATGAACATATGCGCAGTGCTGATTCTTACAAGAAGCAGTATAATTGCCTCTGACACTGCCGCCCTTGTGCTGACATGGATTATTTCATTCGCTCACTGGCGAGAGATGCGGCGACTCAAGCTCGCGTCGTCTATTTCCGTTGTGTTGCTCAGAGATGGTACGCATCTTTTCCTCTTTCACTTGCCTGTATATGATGTGACTCAAGGAATGACGGTATAGGCACCCTTTACTTTCTGTAAGACATTATTTTATGTGGCTTTATAACGACCTTATTCAGCATATGAACTCCTAGCGTGCTTCTAAGCATGAGCATCCTACAGCTTTTGACCTACTCAAATTTTTTCGTGAATCAAGTAATTATTCGAGTGAATCATACTGGAAAAGCTCTGATGTTGCACCGACAGGGCACCTATGCGACCTACTTTGTCCAGTACTTGGTAGAAAAACCCACAATCTCGAATAAAAGAATGCTCACTGACGTGCCTGCAGCCCCCCTTGCTGGTGCAACGCTTCATCCTAAACCTCCGCCAGCCTAGCCACGCCGCTCAGGCCAGTGAAGACAACACGGATATGCAGCACTTCTCCCGCTTCTCTGTGAGCTTCAGGGTGCCCTCCGATGTCCTCGGGAATATTGGCGAGCCTCTGGACCACGGCCAATCCGAGCAGGTCGAAGAAGCCGGCGATGTCGATGGCCACTGCGTAGTGGACGAGCCACGAGACGGACTCGAGGGGGGCTTCGCGCTCCAGGCGCCGGGCCCGTCGGCGGCCACATGCCGGGAGGAATTGACAGGAGCTGGCGCCGCGCCCGCGCCGATTTTGCGGTCCGTCGAAAGTGGGAGCGAAGAGGGCAACTCCGGGCCCGTCTGCTTCTCCGTGCGGGATGTGACCTTCTGTGACGACCGAATAGGTGGGTAATCCTGCCTTGTGCTCCGCCAGGGCAGTTTGACACAGTCGCGGTAGAGCCGTGAGTGGCCACCGATAGCTGCTGTGTTGAACAACGTCGACGTTGAAGCATGCAGCTACTTTGTATCGTATTGTGCTCCAATTCCTATATTTAATGCTCCCTCCAGTCTTGTCTATGTCATCTGCATTCTTCTAGGGATTGCATCGATTGTTTATAGTTATGAACGGTACAGCTCCGTATTTAAATTTCTTAGAACTACCGCTGCTCTTGGCAGTATGATGGTACAAAAGTCCTTACTTATGCTTACATATGACATGTAGGGTTGACGCGTCAGATAATTTAGTGTCCGTCTACTTTCGTCCATAACGACCCTTTAGCTATGTCCTTGATGCCGTGGCTTGCAGTGCCAACATCCCGTCACATATAAAGCTCTGCTGGAACGGAAAGAGCGTAGAGAGGTGTATGATCACACTTATAGAGACCAACTAGGTCGCGATGCAAACAGCTACGGCTGCTCCCAATGCCGCTCTCTACGGTGTCTTCCCATCATACAGCGCATCGAGCATGCGAACACACGCGTAGCGCGTCCTGAAGAGTCCCTCCCGCTCTGCCTTGATCCGTACATTCCACATCAATCAGTGACCCAAAAACTCATCGTGAAAGAACCGTCGCCACTGGCGCAGCCCGAGGAGCTGCAAGGGGTGCAGACACCACGCGAAGTTGCCCGCGCTGTGCACGTTGGCGCCTCCCTCGAAGTACTCAGGAGAGGGGCGTGCCGGGGCAGCCTTCGTGAGCCGCGTGTTTGGTACGCCCGCAAACTCGCATCAGGGGCCTTTCAGCTCGCCTTCGTCGCTGAGGCCCCACATGGGCGGAGCCGCCGCGTCTAGTAGCTGCAGATCGGCAAGCACGTTGTCGGGGCTGCACGGAAACACACATGAGCTGAAGTTGCCGTGTTAGTAGCGGCCAAATCACACGCACTCTGTGGCGACAACGACGTCTGCGGACATCCCGCTCCCGTCGCTGAGCGCGACGCCGAGCGGGTTATGATCTCGCCGTCGACGAACTTGTGGCACGCGCCCATTGTCTGCAATCGTGTCAGCAATTGTATCTCAGAAGGCCCGAAGCCGTCGAGCATATCTCTGGCGCCACAAGCGGCAGCGTGTCAGCAGTGGCAGACCAGACGAATGATGGCCGAGCGTGGGAGGAGTGCGCACGTGCTGAGCGTGCGAATTTGTATGGTTGCGCTTGAGGCTATCATAGGCCACTGTAAGCTGAAGGGAAGCGAATGCGTGCTGAAGTCGGGGTCGTCGTGCGGGCGATGCTCGGACGCCACGCGGGCTGTTTTAGATCGGGATGGATACATCGAGGTGCCCGGAAGGACGCGCTTCACTGAACCATTGGCAAGGCTGCGGGGATGTCACCCCGGAGCGCGATGAAATGCAATAGTGCGTCAAGATTGGCGCCTATTTGCTCAAGTGGCGCACCATCTCCCCGTTTAGCTTCGGGCGGGATCGGCAAGTGCTTAGCGCCGATGCGATCACACCTCCGCCCCAAAGTTCCTTGGCCAGGTGCCTGCAGTGGCCTTCCGAGGCGCATATAACCCTCACATGACCACCGACGCCCCGTCTGGCTGCTTCTTCACCTGGCTGACACACGCCGTTCAGAGCGAAACAATATTCCACGCGCCAGATGCCCTTCAGTGCCCGCAACTCAACGCGTCCTACGAACCCTCGTTCCACAGATATGCCGGGCCCGTCCAGCCGTCCTTCCCGAACGCCGATTTTCATGGCCAGTAATGCATCTGGCGCCGGAATCAAACAAAACGCTTTCATACAAACGTGCAAAACCGCAAAGGAATTTGAGTTGATGCAGGGGTCGGACGTGAACGCGTGAACGACCGTCCGGGGTATTTGTCACACCGTTGGTGAGTGCGACATATCGAAGTGAGGATGCAACGTCCGTCAGGGTCAGCTAGCGACTCGTGTCGGGACCTAAGGCGAATGAAATGGCGAGAACTGGTTCACGGGATGCAATAGGCGAACGCAGGAAATCAGAGACCGTTCAGCGAGGATTATCCGCCTCGGCTTACTATGTCACTAATTATGTCAGCGTTTTCTAACATCAGCTGCTTACCATATTTTCCACGATCACTACCATCCTTACCTCGACCAGCTTTCATTTGTAACACACACGACGCGTTCGCACCTCATCACGCCTCCGCCTAATAACATCAATCTCATGAGGGCAATCACCTGCGACACGCACTCATATAGCTTTTCCACTCGGCTCTTTCTGCTGGGACCTGCCAGTCCAGCTCCCCAGTGCGCCATGGACGCTATCAACTCCCTCGGTCTCAACACCACCTGTTACACGGGGAGAGCTCGTGTCTCCAGGCACAAATGACGGTCGCGGCGCGGCTGAACACGCTGGGTGTGTTGAATCTCGTGGCAGAGGCGGACGAGCGGGTGGGCCATCGTTAGAGAGAGAGGCGCGAAAAGCTAAGTTTGCATGGGCCAGTATGTGCGTTTGCTGCCGCATTCATTGGCGCTGTGCTGATGGCGGAGTCCTCTATCTGGCCTGTCTTTATACCTGCGGAAAAAGGTGCGTCCACATCTCGCTACGTCATTGCAGCCGGCGTGCTGACCGCATCGAAGTTCGCAGACTGGCTCGAGCTTTATACCGATGCGCCCGAAATCAACTTCCAAGCCTCAACCGCTGCTACGCCCATACATCATACCAGTGACAAGCAGAGGTGGAATGTCGCCCTCCCGAATTTCGATTGCTCGCAGCACCCTCAACCTGTGAGGCGCGTCGTCGTTGCAATGGGCTGATCATTAAAGCGTGCAACATTGCAAGGCAAGTCTATCGTCTCGATATTCCGAAACACTCGCGCTGATGCCGACTGGTTCAGGACAACTTCGCCGGCACAGTTGTACACTCAATGAATTTCCATTCTGCAGCGCGCTGCACGTCGGCAGGAAGTTCGTTGTCATCGGAGCGCGCGCTTTCAAGTGCGTTTTCACTTTTTTTTTGTCTGCTTAGCCTCACGGACGCCGCAGAGCACGACGCCGCGTCCAACCATGCGAGCCTCGGCATCGGCGCGCCTCTCGCAGACGTGACAGTGCACCAGCGTCTGTACACGTTCTTTATGTCGATGAACCCAGGCTATCTCCGCGCCATCTCCTCAATGTAATGGGAGGCTGCGCTCACGGAAGACGTCGACTGCGCCAAGTTTGCGCTCCCGTTCCTGTTGCAAAGCACCTCGCGAAGCGTATGTGTAGTGACGATTGGTGAGCAACCTGGTGTGATGTGGGTGCGTACACGTGAGCGGCTAACGTGAGGATTGGGTCGCAGATACTTGAAAGACCGGAGAGGGCGGGATATCGCCCTTCGGACGACGAGGAAGTCCTTGGCGTGTTCGGGCATCTCGTTTGTGCAAGAGAATATTACCTCAGTGCGCCTCATAGTATTTCTCAGTTCCCGTATCTCGTCTCATTACCACAACAAACCGCGGCGCATGCCAGGAGATTATCGACGAGAAGATCGGTGGCGGAATAGGGCTGGAGGCTGATGTCGCCGTCGTCGCCTGTGTTCGTGCCTTCTCCTTGGACGGTAGTTCCATGCGCTCGTATTGTGTTTGTGGCAGGTACGGCGATGCACACCGGAACCGCGGCGCAAGACGGCTTAGGAGGTGTGAGTCCTCGAGACATACATCTTGAATTGCCGTACGGTAGATTCTACAGCGAGCGTGCGCGTTGGAGCGGGTTTTTCTGCGGGACTCTGTGTGGAACATGATAATGGCAGCGTATCCCGAGGCGGTGGATGCTTTATAGCGGTTCGTCGGTGTCGTTTGGTGTAAGGTAAGGCGTACGAAAACAAGAAAATCTGCTCAGTCAATGTATCAAAGAGCGGATATATTTGGCGTTGCGAAATACGAGGGACTGTGGAGAGGTTCGGTTCTGATTTAACTGCTATTCCCGCCATGATGTCAAACCCGACGCTTGCAAATGTAGCTGCGCGGCACGCACGTGACGGCGGATCAGGCACCAGGACGCCACGAAGTGGAGATCTGATGTACGACCGAGCACGGTCTTTCGGTCTGTCGTGAGTCCGCTGTTCCCAGGGCCGTGCGACCGAACTGTGTTCACGCTGAATACCCCACATGTTGCCTATCTCGCAGAGTTTAGGGTTGCGAAGCTCACAGAATCAGGTGCGTTCGAGGGTTTCAAGTACGCTCGTGCCGGGTTGGAGAGCGTCAGAGGGAGATGTGACCAGGCTGCACAGCTCTCACAAGAAGATGACGAAGCGCGTCATGGGACCCAGAGCGGGAAAAGCCGCTATCTGAACAGCGTAAAGTCATCGCCCAAATTGGCGACAATGGATGCAACGCGTGGGCGGAGATCCGGGAACAGCCCGCGGATGCCACAAAGCCCGTGCCCGCGAGCCTTCTGTGTGCGAGCCTCGAACATTTGACCCCGCTCTCTTTACGTTACTACCAGAGCTCAACCCATTGTCATTGCACCCGTAGGCTATGCCGAACGTAACTGGGAGAACATCAGACCGCAAAGGTGATTGTCCGAGGGTACGCGGTATCCATCTGGCTAAAGTTTTGGTGCAATTTTATCACAGATTGAGAGACTCTGTCTGCACGTGTGCCCTAGAGATGAAGCATCTCGTACGCGGCATCCACATCTGTTCTAGAAGGCGTGATGAGGCTGCATGATGTTACAATATCGAGGCAAACATGGACTGGCGCTTCGCAGGCGGAAGGTGCAGTTGGGATTGAGCCGCGACTTGATGTCCTGTCCCCGGTAAGTCTACCTACGGCGTTCAGCTCGTCGGTTTGTCTGTGCAGTTTGAAACGTCTGCTTTCAACAGAATGGTCTCCCATGCGATCTGCGTCTGGCGATTGACGTTCTGCTCTCGCTGCACTTCCATTTGATTGTTACACTGATATCGAAAGCTGATGCTCCAGGGTCAGTGCGGTGATTATCACAACAGTCAGCTGATATCCGTGTGACAAAATGAGGTGCAATCTTGGGGCTTACAGTGATCTGCGGCCTCTCAGCACTGTACATGCCGCAATATATATGGTCTGTACGTGAGTTCGCCTTCCTGCACCGACCAGCTCGCGCCTTCTGAAGACTTACCACAGGAAATATGTCTCAACCAAATGAAGTCTTGAAGCAGGAAGCAGAAACAGCGTACAGCTTCTCTCTCCTGGAGCACATATCTGCCTCTGACGCGCAAGCTATGCATCCAGTCTGATACAAGACTATGTCTTTTTCTCGGTACTGAGTACGTTGTCGCGTTTCCGAGCCTCGACGTAAGTCCGCTGAATAGCTTCCGCGCTTAGGCCTTGTGTCCTATGAATACGTCATAACGCTGGACCGAGAAATTGCGGCAGTGTGGAGAAGGAAGTTCACGGTCACCTCACTACTGTTACTGGCCGTCCGGTGGCTCATGGTCCTGGGCCTGATTCTGCAGGTCGCACAGCCCGGTGATAGTCAAGCCTGGTGTGAGTATACGTACAATTAAGGATAGATAGCTGCCCTTACCGGAAATTACTCTGCAGGCGTACACCACCTTTTCCGGCGAAAGATTCTCTGATAATACCTCTGCACGTGATGCATTGAAGGTGTACACCGGGTCACATATTGAACGTGCTTATATACTTGGCAGTTACAGTCCTAATTTCTGGTGAGCAGCGACCACACCACCGAGCACGTCCGCCGTCGAGTCACATTAAACGGACTGGGTTCTGCATAGTATTCTCTGCCTTGCGTGTGTACGCGCTCTGGCAAGGCTCGAGGATGAAATATGCTTTCCCCGCGATTGTACTGGCACTTGGGATGATACCAGTTGGAACAAATATCGTGAGCCATCTCTCCATCAGCCGTAAAGTGGTGTTTACTGACCTGCGTCCAGTTCAACTGGGCACGCAGCTCAATCACTTTCGTGGAGACTCCGCAGGTCACTGGATGCTTCGATTCCACCAACATACCGCCAAAGCTAAGCATGGAGTATGTCCGGCCTACTGCAGCGACCGCTTGGCTGTACGCTGACTGCATTGTTTAGGCGTATGTCTGCTGCATCTTATGTTATGTTACCACATTTTGAACATACATCCAGTGCTCTTCCTTACAAGATGCAGTCTAATCGCCTCCGACATCCTTGTCCTGATACTGACATGGGTCAAGTCCCTCGCGCAATGGCGCGCCATGCGGCGACTCAAGCTTGGTTCTTCTGTTTCAACTGTGCTACTCAGAGACGGTATGTATGCCACCCTCTTTCACTTGCCATGCATGACGCAGCTCATGGCATACTCGCCTAGGATCCCTCTATTTTCTGTAAGCTATCATATCATGCAATTTCACAATGAACGTGTCTAATATATAAACTCCGAGTGCGCTTCTAGGCGTAAGCATCCTACAACTACTGACATACTCAAGTCGTCTCGAGGATACAGTAATGATTCGAATACATCTTCCTGTAAAGGTTCTGATTTTGTCTCAACAGGGCACCTATGCGATCGTCTTTATCCAGTCTCTGGTCATAATTCCATAAGCTCAAATAACAAGGGTCCTCGCTGACTAGGCGTCGGTTTTTACAGCCCCCCTTGCTAGTGCAGCGTTTCATCCTCAACCTCCGCCAGCTAGGCCCCGCCACTGAGGCTAGTGAACCCGGCTTCGGCGCGCAGCACGTTTCCCGCTTGTCTCTGAGGTTCGGGGTGCCATCCGATTTCCTCGGGAATATTGGGGAATCTCTGGACCATGGCCAGTCGGAGCACATTGAGGAGCACTATGGCGACGACGATCGCTGTGTGGCGGATGATCAACGGGACAGACTTGAAGAGGGACTCGCGCAACATTCAGGCCCGCTGATTGTACATCTCGAGGAACCGACGGAAGCCGACATCGCCTCAGTTTTGCGATCTACCGAACGCGCGAACAAAGAAGACGACGTCTGTTTGACCGCTTTCCCGCGCGAAGCGGTCCTTGGGCCTTACTTGGCTGCAGACTAGGTGCGTGTTTTGCGCTATGCCTTTTTGGCGGCTCGAAGCAGACGTCTCTCAAGCAGGTTGTGAACTGGATGTATAGTCATACCATGAATATATGACCTCCTGCAATCACCGGCTGTTGTGCTGCTCAATGCTGGCACCGAAGAAAACAGACATTTACTAAGTATATCATACTTCGATCCCCGTCTTTTATACGCCCCAATTCGCCCTCCGTCATTTATATTTTCTCACAATTTTACCGATAGTGGATGGAACTACGCGTTCTCGGGAGTGCGGTGATACCAAACCTCTTATTTGTGCAAGCTACAGGATTAATGCGTCAAATATGGTCCGATATCTGCCCATCTTCGTCCGTCGCGAGCCTCTCGTTTGGTCAGCAAACTGGCACACGAAAATTTGACAATGCTAGCAGTTTGACGAGTGCACTGATACATGAAAACGCACTGAGGTTGACGTTAAATCACCACCAGAACCGTTCGTTGCCTGTATACTTCATAAATCTCTGCTCCGTTGCCGCGTCCGCTTAGGCGGCGCGAGACCGCTCTTAGACTCTGCCTGTAACGGCAGCGTTGGACTGGACGGTGCCGGTGGCTGCTGCGGTATAAGTAGCACAGTATTCGTGACACATTCGTTTTCGTAAGCTGTCGAGCCCACTGTAGAGGATTGAGCCGAGCTTTCGCATGGAGCGGCGCTGGTACTGGAGGTATGTGCGGCTGCAAGCCGGGATTGGCGGCGCGTGCGGGGCTGGCAGGAGCTCAGGACGACGGCGGTATCGAGGACAGCTGCGGCAAAAGGCTTCGACAACGACGAGCTAGACCGAGAAAGGCAGCCATCCGGACCAGGAGGGAGTGGGCATCTCGAACCAGTTTATTAGAAGGCGGGATTGTGCGCCTACGCGGGAACTTGGACGGATAGGTCAGGCATCGCTGTCGTAATCCACGACTGCGGTGCGAAGCCTAACAGCTTACGGTAGAGATCTGACAGCGAGGGTGACGTAAAGCGCGCAGGCTTTAGGGAGGATACAATCGCCTACAGCCTGATGCCGTCGAACGTGAATATACTTGTCGTTTTTTGCCGAAGTGTTTACACTGATGCGGACGCTCGTCGGTGGGGAAATTAAATACATGAGCAACGTGAAGGAACACTGGTACAAGTAAGAACTAACGGGAAGAATGGTATGTAGTTCTACCTTAACGATAGCGATCAGTAGTAATCATGGAAAGTAGAGCAGCGAGCGCACATATCAGGTCCACATAGGGGCGGGTCGTTGATTGTTTGTGTTCATGGCGTCCTGATGCATGTTGAAGCTGTTGAAGAAGAAAATCGGTGATAGGCAGACCGTGTGCCGGTCCTCGAGCAAGTGGACTACTAACGATCGTCGCGACGGCAGGTGCACAAACTGCGGCAGTGACGCAGAGCGGGTGCAGCGGAGGCGCGTGGCCACTGAGGGTGAACTTGCGCTAGCATCTGCCGAGATACGTCGGAAGTAAAACGGAGGGCTTGAAGAGCGCGCTGGCTGTGATGGACGGACCTGTGCGAGCGTGCACCGAGATGTTCGTGAGATGCAAGGTCTTGGAGTGCGCTCCTTCGCCACGGCTGTTACCATAGGTAGTACGTAGCTCTGTTATCGTGAAGCAGCCATAGATCAATCTTGTCGTGCAGGTGAGCTGGAATTGTTCGGTTTGCGCCGTGAATGTATTGATGGGCTCTGCCTCCTGGCAATATCAATAACAGAGAACGCATGAGTTCGACTAGTGTGCGCACCTCCGTCCTCTAGGCTACCTGCTTGTGATTGTGCTACCTCCTCTCCTCTCCACCGTCAAGAGCTCCTGAAGTCCGCCGCCGCCTAGACGGGACCTCATCTTGCTCTTGGTCGCTTTGCGTATTCTTCCCGCAAATTCCTAGGTCTGTGCGATGAGATCAGAATGAGTACAGTGAACGCTTTTGCAAGAGGCGAGGAAAACGCACGTCGCAAAAATTTGAGATCCTTGTATGCCTTCATATCCTACGTCGGCACCACTACTTCCAGTGACGATAAGCGTCGCGGACCAGGACGGCCTCACGCCGTATAAAACAAGTCAGAAGCCAGTTTCGAGCAGAAAAAATGGTGCATCCTGCTCGATTGCTTCAAGGAAAGAGCTAGACGTGCGTTTTGTCGGCGCGTGCGGTGAAACGACGCCTTGCCTCCTGGTGGCCGCGCGGCGCGTACAAGCCGAGAACAAAGTGGACGACAAAATTAAGAGCGGAGAGAGCTATCAGCTCAATAGCGGATATCAGGTCATCGTCTAGCTCGGCAATGTAGGAGGCTTAATGTGTAGGTCGACGGTGGTGGTAGTGGTTAGAGAGGAGTAGCCCGCAGGCGGGCGTCCGTGCATACGTAATCTAGAACCTGCGTTTTCGTGGCAAGTCTGTACTGGACTATCAGGGCCCATGCATGCATTCCATAGTTCGCATCCGAGTCACACCTGCATTACGCACATGTCGTTGTTCGCAGCGTATTGCCACTACACGCTGCGGCAACCTCTCTGGTTCGTCTACATCAATTTTGGAAGATGTGACGAGGCTATACGGTGTTGGAATGGCGAGGCAGGCAAAGGCGCATTCGAGGCTGAGCGCTGAGCTCAGCTCCTGGGTCTCTCCAGCGAGTTGGATGATCACCGCAAACTGAGATATTGCATCGACTATCTGTTCTCACACAGAGCTAAGATGGTGGCATGCTTCAACTGCGCCGCGGCCTGCTGTAGACTGAGCAGATGCTCCCTCTATGGATGCGCAGATCCCTTAATATCATGCTGAAGATTCACTCTGTAACGCGTGAACGACGGACGACCGTCCGGGGTAATTGTCACACCGCCGGTGAGTGCGACACATCGCTCCTTCCGAACCGATGCTGAGCACATCAGGAATAGAGCATAGACCCCGCCAGAAACGATTACAGATCGTCGTCTGCGGAAGCGTACCTCACGCTGGTTGAGAATACCCGCAGCAACTGGGTCGTGCTCGTCGGACACATGGCGCGTTCCATCGCTCTAACAGCCGATGAAAGTGCTCTGATACATGTTGCGTCCTCTAGGCTACACGCGTACTCTTTGCGCAGCCCAGCAACAACAGTCTCCAACGCGCGCACGCTGTGCTGTCCGCCCCGACACCTTCAAACACCTCGACCGACGGCTCGCACCAAGACTATATCTTATATGCCAATCACGAGGTTATCCTGTCTGCCGGGGCGATCCAGTCGCCCGCCCTACTCCAACTGTCCGGCATCGGTCCCCAAAGTCTGCTCGACAGCCTCGGCATCGACGTCGTCGTCCGACTGGAGGGCGTCGGACGAAACTTGCAACACCAGGTGAGCCTCCGTCCACGGGGTCGGTCGCCCGCCCGCTCGACCTTTCCCTCGACCACCACTATACTGACAATCTCATCCACTCGCAGGCGGGAACGCCGCTCGCCGCGCGCACGACCGTGAACGACACCGCGCCGCGCATCCCAAACGCCATCGGCTTCCCGGGCGTCGACGCGCTCTTCTCGTTCGGCGCGCTGCACGGCGGCGCGGCGGCGTTCGCCGGTGGGCGGCCAGCCGGGCTGCGGCGGGGTGCGGCGTCGGCCTCGAGGCGCTGCAGGAGGTCATGCGCGTCCAGGCGCGCAACATTCCAAACGACCACCGTAAGGCGATATGTTTGGTTTCGTACGGACGACGTGAAAAAAAGAGCTGAGTCGCACACAGCCGCGATCCTCGACACGTTCTACAGCGAGCCGGCGTCGGACGACCTCGGCATCAACGTCTGGGGCCTCCTCCCCTTCAGCCGCGGGAACCTCTCCATCGCCGTGCGCTCCTCTCCCCTCTCGTCTGTCCCCCCACGTGCTCACCCTTGCCAACTGCGCCAGAGCAACAAACCCCTTCGCGTCCCCGACTGTCCGCGCCCCCTACCTCACCGCGCCCTTCGACCTGCAGGTCGCGATCGCCGGTGCGCGGTGCCCGACGTGCATGGCGACGGCGGGTCGGACGCGGACGCGGACTGGGCGGCGTGGGTCCGCGGGACGTACATCTCGAACGACCACCCGGTCGGGACGGCCGCGATGATGCGGCGCGCGCTTGGGGGTGCGTTTCCTTAATGATAATAAAAACGCTTCTTTTTCGCGGGGCGCGTGCGTGTGTGTGTATGTGTGTGGCGGGGTTTTGCTGATGCAGATTTTGCGGGTGATAGGGGTCGTGGACGCGAGGCTAAGGGTGTACGGCACGCGGAACCTGCGCGTCGTCGACGCGTCGGTTGTCCCGCTCCAGATCAGCGCGCGTTTGAGTGCGACGGTGTATGGCGTCGCGGAGAAGGCGGCGGATGTGATCTTGGAGGGGTTTAGTGCCAGCCGGACGTAGTGCATGCTCGTGGGTGTGTGCTATCGTGGGTACGAGAGTCGACGTGGCTGCTCTCTATGCTGGCATGTTGGAACCGGGGGTCCAGTTCCCGCCCATGTTGATTTTGACTCCTGTTTGGTTGTAATCCACTGAAAATGGTTTTGGCTGCTTTCCAGATCAGGATGAACACAGCGCTCGTTTGGTGCTACTGAGTTTTGTGTGCGATCGGCATGCCTAGCGGTGTGGCGCTGCGATGCAGAAGACCTTGCCCACAAGGTTCCCCCCTCAGCGGCAGGATTTTCTGTCCCGGGGCGCAGTATGTCGTCATTTTCAAATCGCTATGAGTTTTATGCTGCGAGCGGGGCACGCGAAAGGCGGACTCAAGGGTCATGCTCGAGCTTTCATGCGTAGCCGTAGAGGTACTAGCAATTCTTATATATGCCACGGGTTGTATGTATGTCTACCATCTTTGCGGGTCGCGCTCTCCTGATTTTGGCCCGTTGCTATAGAGTACATGATTGTATCTTCCGGCGTATTCTACGGCTATGAAGTCTGCGGATACGAGGGGTATGAAAGGACGATGAAATATGTAAAGCATTATTGGTGGCGGAACATGAAGCCTGGTATCAAGCGCGAAGGACTTGCTGATTATGAGCGCGCTGACAATCATGTCCGCAATTTCAGGTGGCAAAGCATTGGGCGCACGGGCAAATTCCTACCCAGTCTGGATGAGGGGTGCAAGGCAGGGCATCATCTCTGAATTACACAGGCAGAATCTTCGCATAGAGCTTGATGGGCCTCGACGACGAGGGCGGGCTTAAGGATCCCTGGCGTGTGCTCGAGAGCTTACTGCGCTGTATGTGGCGCATGATGGGTGCGCTGTTTGCTCTTTCGATAAACTTTGGCGAGATCCTGACCGGTGGGGCTGGCTTCCGGTAGTGACTTTCTTTACCAGAGCTTTGTGTGTTACCGATTAGTGTGGAAACTACGGAGATTAAGGCGAAGTGGGAGCAGGGCTCGCTATATGAGACGCGCAACGCGGCGCCGGTTCCGTGGCGAGTACCGTCTGTTTGGATGCACCACTTGTGTCTATTGACAGATCATGACATTAGGAATCAAACAACAGAAGCTATCACAGGGGAAAGGAGCAAATTGTCGGATGTTGTTCTCACAAGCTGTACATATACCAAATTCTGTACCATCCCGCCACTGAGAATGTCCGAGTCGGCGGTGAGGAAATTTAGAGAGATGCCCCAGAGGTACGGCGGCATATAATGTACGGCGACCAGGGGTTGGCATGATTTCTAGAGTAGTACAGATAACGAGGACGAGATTGGAACTAGTGTTGAATATGAGAAGGGAGGCGTTAAACGATAAGAAGTGACTGTCTGCCTTCAACACCAACATCAGGCCGGCACAACAGTCGGTGATCACTGACGGTCATAGGAAGATGGCGTGACCAATTATCAAAATTTGCATGAAAGATGTCTAGATTAAGTTACGGTCCTAACGGGGTTTAGAGCAGAAGACTCACCCAACTGGCACCCGTAGAAGAAAGCTCAAGAACCGTTCGGCGCAGAAAAATTAGACAACCCGGCGTCGTCCCCTTTGCTTATACGTTCGACGGAACGCAGCACCAGAGCGTCAGATCCCGTGAGTTCTTCTCGGCGTGTGGTCGGCGGGCCTGCCGGCTGCGCGAGACCTGATTCTAGACCATCTCGCGGCTCTTCTGCCACACAGCCGCCGTCATCGCCATCGTCAAGTTCAGAGGCTCGCTCTGGTGCGCCATGGTCCAGAGGCTCGCCGACATTCCCTAGAAAATCAGAGGGAACTCTGAAGCTCACAGGGATGCGCGACAAGTGCTGCTCATCCGGGATGCTTGCACTGCTAGCCTGGCCGGTATGGCTGAGCTGGCGGAGGTTGAGGATGAAGCGTTGAACCAGCAACGGAGGCTATAAATAATGAGGTCTAGTCAGCGATTGATACCCAGCCGGCCGAGCGTAGTATGAGATATTTACCATGGACTGGACAAAGATGCTCGCATAGGTACCCTGTCGACATGAGATCAGAACCTTCCCATAGAGATGGATTTCGATAATTACCTGCACCAGGAGCATGTTTGAGTAGGTCAGGAGTTCTAGAACATTCATGGCTAGAAGTGCACTTGGGGTTCATATGTGAGACACAGCCATTGCGAACGCACATGATGTGGTAGCTTACAGAAAATAAACGGTGCCTAGACAAGATTCGATGAGATTCGTTGTGTATGGGCAGGTGAAAGGGGATGAGATATATACCGTCTCTCAGAAGCACAGTCGAAACGGAAGAGCTAAGCTTGAGCCGCCGCATCTCCCGCCAGTGCGGATACGACTTGATCCATGTCAACACAAGGACGAGGACATCGGAGGCGATTAAACTGCTTCTAGTAAAAATTAGCACTGTATAGATGATTGTGGTGAGTCTGCAAATATGCAACATAAATCATGACAGACACAC